TTCACTTATAATTAAATAAAATATATATTATATATTAAGTAGATAAAATAATATTTTGAAAATGAATGATATAATAAATCAAATAAAACTAATTTTGTATAAATATCTAATATCATTTTTATTTAATTTGAGGTCAAATTTATCAATTTTTACCAAAAAAAGTCAAAAGTGGACAAATATTAGAGACAAAGGGAGTCTATAATTATAAGGTCGATAATTTAGGTTTTTAAAATTGATGTGAGGAGAGTGAATCATTGGAACACTAACACTTTTTGTATTAATATATTTTTGAATTTTTACAGGGAGAAAAATTATAGATTTGTAGAAATACCTCAAAATTAGAAATCAAGATCCACATTGTAGAATGGAAAAAAATTTCGTCCGAACCCGTGCGAGGTACGGGTAGAAATACTAGTTTATATAATATGGAGGATTTTGAAAAAATTTTAGTCAAACAAAGAAATAATAATCTTACAAATGCCCCCATGCAGGATCGAACTACAGACCTCCAGTTTACAAGACTGGCGCTCTACCACTGAGCTATAGGGGCTTGTTGCAAGTTACAATACGTTAGCAAAATAAAGTAAAACGCCAAAATGTCCTTTCAAGAAAAAAAACGTTATAATTTCGGATTAGCTTGGAAATTGATATATGCGCTCCGCAATTTGTTAAAGGCGCTCCACCCGTCTCCATATTTTCTGAAAATGCCAACAATAGCCTTTCAACTTAAAATATGTGTACGCCTTTTAACAATAGAATTATATTTTAGTCCTATTTTGGTAAATTACTCATTTTACAAATGATTTGTGTTCTTTTATTGCGTTTAAATGATTATCTATTCTTCTAAATGTCTTATTCAGTTTCAATTTAAATCCTACATTATTGATTACGTTGTTTAATTAAAATTGTTTTCTGTTCAATAAATTTAAAATTGGTATGAAATCATTAAAAAATATGGAGTAAAATTTATATATTTAAAAACTAAATCAAAAGTTTAGAAAACAAGAGCTGACAAGACTATATTATTTTACCAAATGAGTAACAAAAATAGGTAAAGAATTTGATTAAAGTTTGACCCGTGAATAAACAACAAGCAACTTAAATGGGGATGAGGGAGTAAGAATTATTCTCCCTTCGATAATAAGAGTTTATTGTTTTTCTATTGGAATTTTAAAGTTGGATAATAGAAAAAACTGAAAAAAGTTAAAAGAAACTTGAAAGAGTTGGAAAATATTACAAAAAAATATTAAAAAATCATCGAATTTAAGTTATCACTCAAATAAATATGCAAGGAAATTAATTTTAGATGAAAAATAATCTTTGCCCTGTTTGGAGTGATATGTTATAAATTTGAATATATGATGTTATTGTATATTTTCATCATATGTAATCTACGTAAATGTAGAATATATGATCACTATCCTATCACGAATCTCCATAAGTGCAAGGTCCGTAACTTCTGACTTCCTCCTCGGAGTGTGACCTCTTAACCAAAAGTCCTCTCGACCGAGCTGAGAACCCGTCTCGGTAGACCAACCATGATATCGGCAGAAGTGGTGGCCTGAGAAGCAGCCAACTCATGTTGAAGCATGACATATCCACCCCGGCCCATAAAGTGCGGATAATGATTCTTTTTCTGTAGCACCCTGTTAGCCTTGCTCAAAGCCTAAAAAAAATTATTTAAAATAAATTAATATGCCAGTTAATTTCATTCAAAGAACGTAATTATGTTGTACCTTACTTTCTGCAGTCTCGTTCTGGATTTGAAACTCCTTCCAATGCCTTGTCTCTATGTAGCTGTAACGACGAAAGGGAGTCTCACCGTAATGATCCCCACCTTCCGTCAAATAATTAATGCCTACGTAAATATGTCCTGAAAGCGTGAAATCTCGCCCCGGAAACCGTCATGACATGCCAAACCCCACCAAGCAGTATCACATATATATCCTAAAAGAAAACGAAGCAACAACTAATTATATATAGAACCATGTAACAATTAAAGTTAGCAGATAAGGATAAATTAAATGGTACATACCCAAACCCCGTCTAGTATCGTGAGCTTCAGGACATCCGGGACATCTCGTCAGTCATTATAAGTAATCGGCACTCTCGATCAAGCCTCAAATCCTACAAGCCCATTAAAGTCCGTAACATAGAGAGTCCACGTACAGGTTCCCCATCCTCCCACTAAAGCTCTATAGGCGGGTGACCCTCCCTCTTCTTCTTATACACTTTCTCGCACTTCCCTGCACCTCTAACCTTTTTCTTCTTCTATTCATCTTCCATACCTGCACAAATTCAAAACAACATGCATAACATAAGTTTAATCAAAGGGAAATTAAACAACAATGAATTAAATGAAAATGATCATTATAAACAGAAAAAAATACCTAAAGCATTATTTTAACTTCTTCTTTCCCCCATCTATCAATAATCCTTCTTCGTGATTTTCGTGAATGTATTTTGCTCATATATCATCTACTTGTAAGTCTGGCGCAACCATTGAAATATGAGTTGCTTCATCGTATAAATCGTCGTCCCACACAATTGATGAACTCTTCCCTTATCGAACAACAGACCAATTTTTATCTTTAGGACCAACAATGTAATAGATTTGCGTCGCTTGAGAGGCCATTATAATCGGTTCCTCATGATGATCCAACTTCTGAAAAATCACTAATTTAAACCCCATGTCATCTAATTTAATCCCCTTGTTGATATCCACCCATTTACACCGATAAACAGGAATTGTGAATTTCGTATATTCAAGTTCCCATATATCCTCGATCAAGCCATAATATGTTTTGTATGAGCAGATTAGTGTCGAATCTTTACCCATAGGAATGTGTAAGGAAGAAGCATTCAATGACACACCGTTATTCTGTATTGTACTCTTCTCATCATGGCGTTTTGTGTAAAAATAATAGTCATTCATGTAGTACCCCTCGTAAGAAGATACATTTACCGATGGTCCTGTAGCTAATGATCGCACATTTTCTGTGACAAGATGAGGAGAATGTACTGTTTGCCAGCGTACATGCTTTTGAAACCATTTTACAAATTTACGATTGTGCTTATTGGTCAACCACCTCTCACTTTTTCCAAGGTTCTCTTGTCTTAAAAGAGACATGTGTTTCTCTAAATACGGACGAACATCATCCGTTTGTTGTAAAATATAGAGTTGTGCTACACTAAACACATCAGAGTCAAGATAAATTTAAAATTATATTATCTACTTGGAAAATAAAATATTCACCTAATGCAAAAATATCTAAATAAATAATAGAATAATCAAAGATTTAAAGTGAAAAAATTAAAGAAATTACCTTAAAATAGGTGAGCAAGGCACGGCGGGGTAGAGACCGGTAACAATGATGGCGAGTTACCAAGGAAGGCAGGGCACGGGGAAGGCACGACGAGGTAGCGACCAGGGAAGGCACGACGAGTTAAAGAAGGTGAGGGACAACGAAGCGAGGCACGAAGAGGCATAGCAAGCATGGCGATAGAGAGGAGGAAGACGGCAAGATTAGGAGCATGGCGTTGGCAGAAGCACGACGATAGCAAGCAACGGCAAGGCTAGGAGCACAGCAAGCACGGAGAAAAATCGTTTGGAGGTTTTTTTTCAAATGTGCGTAAGGATAAGGTGTTGGAGGTTGTCTTTAACAACCTCTTTTGCATCGATTATTCTTAATAACTAATTCAAAAGGTTATTTAAATATGTTATTAGGAATAATCGATTTAAAAGGTTTAGAGGCTTTTGCATCGTGATTCCTAATAACTGATTCAAAAGGTTATTTGAATCGATTATTAGGAATAACTGATGCAAAAGCCTAGAAACCTTTTGAATCGGTTATTCCTAATAACCGATTCAAATAACTTTTCGAATTGGTTATTAAGAATAACCGATTCAAATGCTAAGCGGTTGGCGAAATTTTTTGGGCTTTTAAATCGATTATTCCACTAACCGATGAAAATAAGGTGATTTATTTGGTCGTTTTTGTAGTAGTGAGGTATTACACGATTAAACAGAAAAATAAGAGAAAAGAACTAATTGTTTAAATTACTTATTACTACGCCGACATGATCGCATATCCATGTTATTGGTGAAGCGTGTGCTTATCGGGCGACCCATTTGTGAATGTTGTCCTCTTGTCGGTTGTACTAGTTCATATCTAGGATGTGGCCATTCCATTTCTGGTGGAAGTGGCATTGGATTTCTAGAATACACATTTATGTATGATTGAATTCAAAAGGTAAACAAAATGAATTTATCCACCATCATTCGATTGCAATGACATATTGCGTATACGTGTTCACATGGCATGTGAAGCGTAGTCCATTTCCCAAATTGGCACCATCCGTTTGCTAGATACACAAAAAATGTCTCTTGGTTATTTGTGCCTCTAGTGATGCCCCTACAATTACACTATAAATACCTTCCTCGATGTGATGTAGTACAACACGATAATGCAATTGTGTATCTTCCATACGCCTTACTTAATTCCAAATGTGTCTTGGATATTTGTATCCAATCTGTTGCCATGTGAACGCTTGTGTGTGCCTTTATGCAAACAGCCAGACTAATCTTTCGTACGTGGTCTGAACAATAGCGTATAGTGGTAGACTCTGATATCTCTTCATGACATGATTAAAGTTTTATTAAAGATTAGTTGTAAGAATTTCATACCTTTCCCCACCATCGTAGGATAGTGCCCACATTTCCCTCGGTAACGCCACTAACTAGTTGTATGCCTCCGAATATCGTGACACAATATCTTGAAGTGTTCGGTGGCACTCCTTAATTTTTGCTATACTGGCTCCGTTGTACATTAGACTTATAAGCCTTTTGTAGCGAATTTTTTTCTGAAAATTACTCATGAGGTGACACAGGAAATATCTTCGTGTCAATCGTTGTTCTAGTAAGTGGGGCCCTCTTTTAAATGCTACATCAATTCCACCATGTCTATCGAAAATGATGCAGAATGTCATCTCAGCTAGTCCCACATGACACATTAAATGTTTCATGAACAAAGTTCAACAATCCTCGTCCTGTACATCAACAAACGAATAAGCTGTGGGCAAAATCTTATGGTTGGCCATCATCGCCACAACCAATATTAAGAGCCCCTTATACTTACCGTACAAGTGAGTGAAATCAACAGAGAGCACTCGGAAGCAAGACTTGAACCCATCTAAAGCTGCACAGAATGACCAAAAGACATACAATACTCAAACCATTCTTGAGAGACAGTGGGCTGCATTTGTATTTACACAACTGTGCAACAAAATGTTATTGTCCTATACCCAACCACATGGTGGAGGACCTCGTGTTGCGTAATCTCCTATCATACTCAACTGGTTGTAGAAACTATCAAGATAGTATATCTCCACGATGTACATGTAAATCAATGGAACGCGGGCTACACAGACTTCACATCCAGTGTGGCAGTCTGCATGTATTGAGTGGATCCCTAGATAGGGCTGCCAAATAAACTACAACAAAAAAACATAACTTATATTATCGCTACATTTGTCACTATATGCGGGACTATTTGTGGTTAATGTTCATACCTCCTCCTCTAACAACCTGTCTAGGTGATCCTTATAAGCATGAAGGGTACGCCACAACACTTAGTCCAACTATGGTAACACGCCCACCTACAAACAGATCACAAATTTTTAAGTAAAAAAATATAATGTACATTGAGAAAAATAGTTACGAACATAATATTACCTAGCTCCTAAGGGGGTGTGGTGGTCCCAAAGTGGTGATATACAAAGTCTAGAGGGGGGGTGAATAGACTTTGTTACAAATTAAAAACTTTTTCGTTTCTTTTGAAAACGTGAAAAGAGTGTTAATCTAGAGTTCTTGTGAACTTTAGATTGTGTGCGGAAGTTGGTGGATTAATTGAGCAGTAATCAATATGATGGGTTAGTTTTCAAAGTTAATATAATTACAAGTATAAGTAAAGATAAAAGAGAGAGACACGCAAACTTTAACGAGGTTCGAAGGTGGGGTAATCCTTCTACGTCCTCAAAATCCACTATGTAGTTGGTTGTTGAATAATGGACCAACAATTACACTTGTGTGAATTTCTGCACGGTATATCTTCGCAAGGCCAATGTTGCTACTGCACTCGTGCTGGCTTTGTTGTTCCTTCGAAGATCAATCTTCTTCAACAACTGCAAGATCCAAACAATAGGACTTGCAAGATCAACTTGTAATAAAGTTGATGTACCCTCTTTTAATCAAGAAGTTTGATTAAAAGTTGTATCCTTCAACGTGGTGTGGTACTTGAGGCAAGGAAACCTTCAAGTGTTTACACTATAGCTCTTTGGAAGGAGGAGAAGTTTGCTTCTGGATAGTGAGTTTAGAAATCTCTCTTTATCAAGCTGTTTGGCTAACTGTGAATAGGATAGCTTTGTTGTAGGAGATTGCTCAATTATATGTTCTCTACTTCTTCCAGTCTTCCAAATAGGCTATATATAGCTGGATTGGGTAATCTATCCGTTGAATCAAAAATAGACTTTCCGTTGCATTTGCTGGCTTCAATTTGAATGAAGATTGTGATTGAGGATTCCTCATTGGAATGGGTGTTTGGACATACCCAATTGTTTGAGGAGGGATTCTTTTTTCCACAAAATCCGTCTTCTAGCTGTTGTTCAAAAATTATGGAGTGTAGCTCTTTAATGAGTGGAGTACTCAGTTTGTCTTCTAGTGCTTGTTTAGGAATTCTGGGCGAGCTCTTTAATTTGAGAAGTCCAGACTTTGTCTTCAAGTCATTTGTTCTTGAATCAGCTTAATTATCCTCAATCTAGCCGTTGAAAATCAAGAGAATGATTTTTCCTTACCAATGGGTAGAATTTCTTCATTCAAGACTTAGATTTTTCTAAGTCTTTTTCTCACTTGTCTGCTTCTGAGAATTCTGGTCTTTCTTGGGGCAACCAGTTCTTTGCTGACAGATCCGTAAAAGTCATTCATAGAATTCCAGGTGAGAAAGAGATCCGCGCTAGTCTTCCGATCCGGATGACTTAGCCTTCAGCGGGTTGTAGCGAGACATCCGGTTATCATGTAGTGTTCCGGATTAGAGGATCTTCAAAGTGATCAATTGCTTTGAGAATTTCTTTACTTGTCTCGGACATTTCCGATCAAGATATCCAATTTCCATATCACAAAATTTGATTAGGTCTTCAAAGATTGACATCAAACCTCAGAGTGAAATATCACAACTTTATTGGAAATCTCAAGAACTCGGTTTTAACAATATTTCTAAAAAGAAAAATTACATTGAATATTGGGGGAGACCTAAAGTCCCTATTACAATCTAAATACATCATCATCAAAATCTATAATATTTTTCCCAACAGGGTGTCACCAAGATCTTGTAACGGAAGTGTGCCAATAGAGATACGCTCCCAAGCCCATATTCGTGGTAGAACGAGGCATCCTCCAGTTTGTGCCATGTGCGCCATACATACACGACACATGCTACGGTAAAGGAAAGCTAATACGGTTGCACCAACATCATGGCTACACACCTATTGTGCAGTGCCACGAAGCAACACAAAAAATACAGGTTGACCTTACTTCCTATCAACTACAAACAATCACCCACCCATCATCTTTAGCATCATGGCTAGTGTGTGATGCCTAACCTCTACCTTAGTGTTAGCATCATTCAAAACATTCATCACAATTGCAGACATTTTATTCTGCGACGTAGTCAGATCCTCAAGAGCAGGTCTAAAGCCCCTGAAAATCTCGAATAGCTGCACCTACTCCGCTTTTGTCCTAGTAGTAACGATACAAAGCAAAGGGGTACCATCGACAAGAAAACCAACACTACGCCAAAAACAGCATCAGATGCCTGTTAATTAACTACTGTTTATGCAAACACAGTAGTTGGAAAAAAACAGACTACTGTAAGTTTTTCTTGGCAATAGAACGGTAGTCTAGCTGCTATGCTTTAAAACTATTTTTAAAGTTTCGAGAAACGGTAATGTATCATTAGTTGTCTGTCTCATTTCAAAATACAGTTTTTCTTACAACAGTTGTCAATAACAAGTTAAGAATACTCTATTTAAACAATAGTCTGGGTTTTTAATCTAGAACTGTTTTTAAACTTATTAGAAACAGTTATCTATTGTTAGTTGTCTGTTTCATATGGTTTTTTTGCCACTGTTGTTTATAATAGGAACAGAAGACTCTTTTGTAACAATAGTCCATGAATTATGGGTAGAACTGTTTTTGAAGTTGTGAGAAACGGTCATCTATTATTAGTAGTCGGTTTCGTAAAAAAATACAGTTTTTATTGCCACAGTTGTCAATAATTAGTTAAGACTACTATTTCCTAACAGAAGTCTAGTTTCCCAGTGTATAACTGTTTTTAAACTTATAAGAAATAGTAATGTATTACAAGTAGTGTGTCTCACACTGTTTTTTTTCACGGTTATCTATAATAAGTAAAGAAAACTATTTTTAAGAGAATTGTGCATATTAAGCCTAGAACTATTTTAAAAGTTAAGAATACTCGTTTTAAATAGTAGTCTAGCTCTTAAGCCTAAAACTATTTTAAAAGTTCGGAGAAACGGTAATCTTTTTAAAATGAAAATGTTTACGCTCTCTAACTTTACATTCATACTTTCGGGCCAAATTTATACAACAATCAAATAACCGTTGTTCCAAACAATTATATGGACATGAAAAAATAAACACTTCTATTGAAACAAAAGAAAAAGTACATGGACAGGCTGGAAACTGTCCCGCTACACACAAAGAGAATTGGGAACCCTTATAATCAATTAATCTCACATCATAAAACCAACACTACAAGAAAAAAGGCATTTTACCACACTTAAAATTGTTATTAGCCACACATATAAGTGCGGTGGAGACTTTTTACCGCATATGAGGTAAGTGTGGCGACTGGCTCTATGGGGAAATTTTTGCCACACTTTGGATTAGTGCGGCGATTGGTTAATGTGTGGTTTTGCCGCATTTGTAAGTGTTTTTAAAATGCCAGACATACATCAAATACTGCCATTTTTAAATATTTTAAATTCATAAAAGAGCCTATATGGGAATCGAACCCACATCTCCGTGCACTTTTGCACACGACGCTCTACCATTGAGCTAATAGACTAAGAAAATACCTCAAATAGTATAATAATACTATTATATATGTTAACAAAATATCTCAAAGTTAAACTATCTAGTTGATACAAATAATTTGCACTTTTAGAGCATTTCAAAATAATAATGTGTCACCAGTTTTTCATCTTGTCGTTTTCCTGTAATTCTACCCATGAAATAATTGATTCAATATAACAAAATTCTCAAAAGAAGTAATATATGAAAATGTAAAAGTGTCATTTGTGAAGTTCATAGTACAATAAACAATTGGTGCTTACCCTCATTCCTCTGCTATAACAACAGTCGACTTTTGCCTCTTTTTCCGAAAACACTTATGTGTGACCCTTCAAGGATTCCAACCTGAAGCTTCAAATGTAGCCTATTGATTTGCTGCACTCCCAATTTAACAAAAAGGAGTTGGGACTGCAAAACAGAAGCCAAGCAAAAACCAAAGACAGTTATCTTCTTATGCAGCCCACTGTCCAAGTAAACAATCCCAAAAAAACACTAACTTCCTAAGCAAAACTACAACTAAACACTTAACACATACAAATGCTTCCAAACAAAAACCACTATGAGACTCCTTGATCCAAAACAAAAAAAATGAGTTCAATCAGACAAAAAGTGCAAGTTTCTCTATTTCCTATCATACTGAGCACAACCACAAAGCACAAACATACCTCGACATGGATTAAATTAAAAAAACATGTCTGAATTTATGAAACACTACTTAAAAACAAAGAGTGGGAAACGAAACAGAATTCCAATGCCTCTTCTAAAACATACCCAAAACGGAGTCAAGGAAATTTGGGACGTAGTTCAAATTCCTTAAAACACCAGAGGCACAAAATGGACATGGAAAACGTATCATCACAAACATCCAAAAAAACAACAAGAAGGCCTTCAAAGCACGATTAAGATTCACTAAAAACTTAGACAAAAGGTATTCAAAGACCTGGTGCAATTCGTCATCCAGCGCTATGTCAAAACAGTAAAATCGCAGCCCAAATCGTAACAAAATCCAAATGGATTTGGAATCCATCAACATACCTTGAAAGAGTCCCTCAAATCGCTTAGAATCTCGGAAGTATAGCCATCAAAAATTTCTGGATCGATGTGAATCACAATGACAAAATCGCGAATGAACAATGGCAGACCCGGCTTTGACCTTCGATTCTTCAAAATTCTCTTCGAAATTCTGCAAGATGAAGTCTGGTATGGATTCGCCTGCTGAAGGAGAATCCAAATATCCAAAAATCTGATTGAACGAGCTCAAATCAGTGGAGTATGGGTAATCGGCAATGGACAACCCAATTTACTGTTCATTCGCGATGGTTGTGATTTTGAAGAAGATACGGAAATTAGAGATATTCTGAACTACTCCATAGAACTAATTGCGAAATTGGGGTCACATATTAGGAGGGCAATGAAAAATCTAGATGGATTATAAAATTTGAGATGAACTTGAAAATTTTTAGAATCAGCAATTTGATTTTTGAAACAAAAACATTTTTTGATCCATAAATTTTCTCACTCTTATGTACCACTTTCAATTAGGGGTATGCAAAAATACCCGTTGGATATTGTTTAGAACTGGAACGATAATGTACCAAACCAAAAAGTGAGTTTTCAAATGGTTCTAACAAATTATATCCCGAATCAAACCGAACTGTTTTCATGATAGTACAAGATGGGTTTCTAAGAAATAAATAGTCAAAATACCAAACCATTACCACAATAATAATAAAATACAGAGTAATAAATTAGTTGTACATTTTTTTGTTAAATAGATCCTTTTAAAGATTTGATCTGATTTTGTTAGATTTGAATTTGAATTGATCCGATTAAATTGCTTTTGGTATTATTTGATCTAATTAGGTCCGATCTGATGCATTTAAAGATTATATCACGCAATTAGGACACAACTTATACAAGTAAATAGATCTTCTTTGAAAGTTTGATCTGATCTTATTATATTCGAATTTCATTTGATCAGATTAGACCTGTTTTGGTTCAATTCAACTTAATTAGGTCCGATCTGATCCTTTTAAAGATTACATCAGGAAAATAGGACACAACCTATATAAAAGTTTAGATTTTCTTGGAAGATTTGATCTGATCTTATTGGTTTTGGATTTGATTTGATCCGATTAGATCTGTTTTTTGTCTGATTTGATCTAATTAGGTACGATCCGATGCATGTAAAGATTAGATTAAGGAAATAGGACACAACATATACAAGTAAATAGATCTTTTTGAAGATTTGATATGATCTTATTGGATTTGAATTTGATTCGATGCGATTAGATCTATTTTGGTCTAATTCTATCTAATTAGGTTCAATAAAATACGTTTAAAGATTAGACCAGGCAAATAGGACACAACCTATACAACTCAAAAGATTTTCTTTGAATAATTTTGATGTGATCACATTGGATTTGAATTGATTTGATTCAATTATATCTTTTTTGGTCTGATTCGATCTAATTAGGTCCGATCTGATACATTTAAAGATTATATGAGGCAAATAGGATACAACCTACACAAGTGAATACAACTTCTTTCAAGATTTAATTTGGTCTTATTGGATTTGAATTTGATTCGATCTGATTAGATCTATTTTGGTCTGATTCGATCTAATTAGATCAACGGCATAATTACTTAATTCTGATAAAAAAGGAAGGGACTAATTTCGCAAACAAGATCTACGCTGTTTTTTTTTAGAATAATTTTGCATGCATAATTACTTAATTACTCTATTCTTATTTAGAATGATAAATTAAAAGAAGTTTCGCATGCCTAATATATTTCTAGAAAGGAAACAAAATATAAAAAATATTATTTATATAAACTTCTTTTCTAATACCGAACTTTTTTATAAAATTGGAATTGATATAATAAAAAAAATGATTACCATTCAACTAAAAATAATATTTGTCCATAAAAGGTAATAATCACGTTAAGGTGTAAATTTTTTAATCAATGCATTAAATTTACAGTTTCGTAATTTATGTAATTTCCAATTAAGAAACAAATCATTTTAATCATACAAACTATTTGTTTCCTTTTCCATTTTAGAAACAAACCATTTTAATCATACAAACCATTTGTTTCCTCTTTGGAAAGAAATCAAATCTAAAAGAAATGTCAAAGTAATACATAAAAATGGTGGTACATATAGTAAGTGTTGAATAAATAAATGATAATTAAATCATAAATCACCGTGTAATAAGAATAGATCATGTATTACCGTGTAACAAGAATAATAATATTAATATATTGTGTAATAATATTGCTGTATTTAATCATTATTAATTTATTACCATGTAAGAAGAATGATAATAATATACTGTGTAATAAAATTACCGTACTTAGTCATTATTATCGTCTAATAATTCTAATCTAAGAAGCTTTCAATTTAAAAATGTTTCCATTTAGAGAACATGGCCAAGCTTAATATTACCATATTTAATCATTATTAATTTATTACGGTGTGATTATGTAAAGAAAATAAGCTTTCAGTTTAATTATGTTTCCATTTAGAGATTCGGTGCGAAATATTTTATAAAGAAATTTAAATATATAAGTTTATGCATTTAAGGAAGCACAATTAAAAAAATCAAAATAAAAAACAATAAAAGAAATTAAATATAAAAAAATGTCAAGTAATACATAGAAATGGTGGCACATATGGTAAGTGTTGAATATAGAAATAATAATTAAATCATAAATTACTTTGTAAAGAAGTCTTTCGTTATTTGTAAAACAATTAACTTTTGTACCTTAAAATAATAAAATTTTTATATTCTACTCCCTCCGTCCCGAAAGAAGTTCCCTTATTGACTTTTTGAAAAATTAAGGGAGGGATATTTTGGTGTTAACTTTCCAAAAATACCCTTGATGTGAATGATAAAAGTAAGATGTGATAGATAGATTATTAGTAAAAAGGTATGATGTGATATGTAGGGTATGAAAAAGTAAGGAGTAAAAGTAGTTTTTTAATAGAAAAAGGAAGGAGTTTGTGGGACAAAGAAAAAATGAAAGGAGAAGATGTTTCAGGGATAGAGGGAGTATTAGATAAGAAATTATATCCTTCAAAAATGATCTTAATTTAGTAATATAAGTATGACCCGTGCAACGCACGGGAGTGATGCTAGTGAGACTAATTTGACTCTATTTGTAAAGGTTTTAATTAAAGGAATGATCGGTACTAATTAAATGATAGAATTAATACAAACTAGGAGAAACCGGTAAATATTTGTCGAATGATAATAAAAGTTATATCGTTGGGTAGGGATCGACGAATCGAATCCAATGGTGCAAACAGGTCTCAATTCGGAGCAAGTTGACCCGAAAAGTGTGTTTTTACTCAGACACGTTATTTTAAATTTTTTTTTTATAAACCCTAATAACATAAATACTCCCAACGCGCCTCTGTCCCGACTCCTTCTCAGATCCAGACGCCGCCAACCCCTTTTCTCTTTCACCGTTCTTTGATCGGGAACCAGAGATTAACCAGCGCTGGCCAAAGAGACACCCACGGCGGGTTGACTGGGTCCACGGAGACGAAGCTCCGGCGATTCCTCCGTCTCCTTCCGGCGAAATCCAACCCGATTCTCAGCCCCGCAGCGACACAAAGATCCTGCAATTGAACTACGGTGACGAATTTCGGAGTGTTTTGAAGGCTAAATCTCTGAATTTCAGAGTGTTTTGAGCTCCCTTTCAAGGTATGAATGTGTATTCCTTATCCAATTGATTTTTCAATCGATTTGAGGATCTATGGTGATTACAAATTCACTGTTCATCTCGGGACATTGGACATCTTTTTTTACTTCTTCATGCTTGTTCTTTGATTAATTCTATGGAGTTTCGTTTGTTCTGTTCAAGAGTTGTTTGTGTTGACCTTGAAATGGCGTTTGAACAAACTTTGTTTGCTTCTCTGATTTCTTGGATGAATGGTACTATGGTTGTTCTTGCTCTGAACCTTGTATGGGTCTGGGTGTGTACCACTATGCATGTATGGGTCTGGGTTTTGCTGTGACTTGAAAAATCAGCAGTAGCAGCAGAAGTAATAGATCTTCACCCTTAGTGACTTGAAAAAAAAACACATCCGAGATATGGGGTGTGGCAAAAGGTTGTTTTGAAGTTCCGTTTGTTAATTGTAAATAGGGTGAGTTATTGGTATGTTGTTTTGAAATATTGGCAATGCAGTTTTTCCTTTTTAGTCTTTTATTGTGTTCTTGCATTAATAATCTTTGGTTCATTCTCACTTAAATCCCAACGATTTTATAGGCAAAATAACTTCTGCGTATATGAAAATGTGCTCCAAACGATGCACGTGGATTTTATCTAAAGTTGATTACAAAGTTGAGAAGCACTCTTCCTCTTGCAAAGCTGCATGAGTTGCAAACCCTGTATTGCTCATGGAAGGTAATGATAGTTTAGGTTTTTCAATTTATCCAGTCAAATATAACTGAGGACTACTCCCTTTTTCATCACTTTCCCTTGACCAAACTCAAATGTCGCAGAGGAGTAAATGTAACTAATAAGTAGAGTAGAGTTACTAGTCGTTGGCATACTTCTGCTTCTTTTTTGGGGTGATTTCCCGATCAGTGCATATTTTAAAAATTCATTCCCAACTAGTGAAGGGGGTTCTGACAAAGGGGTAGCAGCCTGACATGATTCCAGACGGTACTCTAAGTACCGTTTGAAGTATTTATTTTTCAAACGGTAGTCAAACTACCGTTTGAAATGCAAAATTCTTATATTCATTTTTGTTGTTTTTAAAAAATTGTAAATTACTCCACCTGTTCCCAATTTGATTACAAATTACGGATTAACGAATAAAATTTCTTTGTTTAAAGAATAAAAAAATTTAGGTTTATAAAATAGTGCACACTATGGTTAGAAAATAACTACTACTTCCGAGACAGAGAAAGTAAATAATACTCACGGACAGAGGAAGTAAATAATAATAAAGTGAAAAAGTATTCAATGCAAAACATAAATAATTATTTTTAAAATCTAACATAATTATTAAAATGATAATCTAAATTATGTCTACGAGTCCGAGTCATTGTCGAGTGAATGTCCTGGAACTATGAAGTGACTTCCCGTACCGCACCGCTTACCACGTATTTTTCGTTGTGGCCGACGATGAACCAATGGTGTACTTTGGTCAATAGGATCTTGTATCTCATTCTCTTGAGTCAACTGCGAAAAAAAGTCTTCAAATAGGATATTTGGCGGAACTCTGGGTGGTGGAGCGTGTGAAGAGGACGTCCCATCCCCAAATGGTGGTTGTAGGATAGTAGGTGTATATAATGATGGTGAAGCATGGGGGACATCCGGGGTATGGAACCTGGACTGGGTGAGAAAGCATCTGGCCATACCCAGCTTCTCGGATGGTCTCTACAGCCCGCTCATGCACGGCTTGCAAAAGTGTGTATGGATCCGCAACTTCGTCAAGATTATCAATATCTGTATGTCGAGCAATGTCCAAGATACCAAACAACTGCAATATAGTATAAAATATATAAATATTATAAACAAGACTTTGAGTAAGTAAGAGCGTATAATACGTACCAAGCGTTGCACGTCTGGACTAATCGGAACGTATCCAGGCACAACATTAACACGATGCGCTGGATTTGCAATAAGACGCCTGCCGTGCAAATAATACCACTCTCGATATTCCTGGGTAAATCCTGTATGGAAGAGGTCAAACGCCACTATGCGTTCATGTCGTGCATCCCACTCTGATATAAAATGTCTCTGTGAAGAAGCCATCCGCCCAGTGTTGGATCTCACAACGTGCAAAGGACGATCATACTCCACAACCTGGGGAATATCCTGGAGCCCACCTAGCTGCCGACAGAACCTTTCTGGATATCAATGGAACACGTGTATATACGTGTATATCAATGGAACACGTGCGCACCATACTTCAAACCCGGCATAACAGTGTGGGTGTAAATAGCGAAGTCCCGGGTAAGGCGCCCAAATGAACTAGACACATACATAAGCAGTAAGTAATACATATAACAAAAAATACATTGGAATAATATGAGTTTTGAAGTATATGTACCTCATTCTCCTGTAGCCTGTCAAGCTGGTCTCGGTATGCCTAAATTGAATGGGCGGATGAATGTATCCAATGGTGATTGCATACCCATCTACAATAAAATTTTTAAATACTACACAACCATCTATAATAAATAATGTTAATTAGAATGTACGAAATACATTACCTGACACCGAAAGGTGCTCCAACGATGGCATCCGGGTGTAGTAGAACCTGTGGTCTACACATCGGAATGTGCTCCCAAGCCCAAATTTGTAGTAGAACAAGTGGCCCCCCAATTTGTGCAGTGTTAACAAGAGCTCCTTGACACATATTGCGGTAAAGACATGCTAGTACGGCTGCGCCAATGGCCCGACTACGAACCTCCTGGGCTGTGCCCACGAGCAACTCCAACAAGCATAGGTTCACCTTATTACCTGTTGTGCTCGTAAATAAAGCTCCTCCCATAATCTTCAGCATGAGAGCCCGGGCATGATGCATAAAGTCCATATCACTGCTATGGTTATCCACTGTAATGAGTTTAATCGCATTCATTTTGATTTGTGTCTTGCTAACGTCCTCCAAATCAGGCCTAAACCCCATCATATCCTCACACATTTGCACCCAATTCTCTTTTGACCTTTCGACCGAACCAATCACAGGAGTGCCATCCACGGGGAGACCAAGAAGGACTTCAACATCCTGTAGTGTGATCCCAACTTCACCAAAAGGAAGATGAAATGCATGGGTCTCGGGCCGCCACCTCTCGACTAAGGCAGTAATCAGAGCCCAGTCAATTTGTAACTTTGAAATTCTTTCGACCCCATAAAACCCATAATTTTGCAAAATCTCAATAACCCGTTCATGACGATCCACCCCCAACCCTTCATTCAAGCTACCGAAAAACTTAACGCACTTCAATGGGATGTCCGCAAATTCTCGATCTTGCCACACCTTATCACAACGGTGTTCACCAACTCCTAAAACTAGTACGTCTCTCTCAATTGGTCCTGGATGAACTTGTGTTCTTTGCAAATCCATTTTTCTACAACATATATGATTATCTTAAAAATAAAATTATATCTAACGGTGATTCAAAATTGAAGGTGATTCAAGCAGATCTAAAATATGATCACTTTAATTTTTCCTATAAAAATATGTAGAAATTTCTACATCTACAGCATGGAACTACATGGAACTATAGACATAACAATTTAAATTTAATATAAATAAATAGAATGTAAAATTGAAGATATAATAACAAAATTCTATAGAATTAAAATTGCAAAAATAGTAGAGTGTTTACCTTAAGAGAGGAGCAAGTGCCAAATCGGCGGTGGCCTTCTTCTCCGGCGAGCGGCGGCCGGAGTTCGAAACGGTAGACTATCTACCGTTTGAATATCCCGACGAGCGGCGGCTGGAACTGGTTTTTCCCGACGAGCGGCGGCCTTCTTCTCCTCCTGATTTGGTTTTGATTGGATCTAGTATCTTCCTCTTCCCTCTTTTGGTTTGGCTTCCTATATTTAAAAGGGGTTTTTTTTCGAACGGTACTCCATCTACCGTTTGAAATTAATGTTTACACAAAACGGTACATCAAGAACCGTTTGAATTCAAAATTTCCTGACATGCACTGATCGGGAACACTTTTTTGGCAGTTGCACTGTCCGGGAATTAAATCTCTTTTTTGTATTGCATAAAATATTCTATTTGTCTATTTTGCAGGATGGGAAACTTGGAAAAGACGGTTTCATGAGAGAATTGGGATCAGTTTGTACAACAGAGACCTTATATTATTAACTCTGCACAGTTTGAATTCCTTGATATTATTTGTCTCGTGTTCATGTTCTTTGTTATTGTTTTTGTTCTGTTGAGGACTGTCTTGGGCTTGGCGTGTGCTACTTTCTGCTATGTTTCTCTTCCATTATTGGGTTTGTGCTGACATGTGGGAGATTCATGTTCAATCCACGAAGATTCAAGTTCAATCCACGAAGATTCTCAAGGATTGGGTTCCTCACTTGTTCCTTTGTAGGAGCAACAACCTATATCATAGGAATAAGATGGACTGAAGAGGCATGCATGTAAAATATGTAAATTGTAAGGATGATGATGTAAATATTAAATTATTACATGTTAATAATATTTTAAATGTATGAATTTATATATTGTTCAATACTCCCTCCGTCCCCAAGTGTTTGTCCACTTTCATTTTGGCACATCATCCAATGCGCTTCTTTAATCCATTTTATCTTGTAATTTGTATATTAAAAAATTATAAAAATTATATATTAATAATCTATATGTTAAGACGAATCAAACAAGATTACACATGACTATTTTTAGGCTTACACATTGAGAGAATTTGATGAGTCAAAGTGCTTAGATGAACAGTTCCAAACGTCAAAAGTGGACAAATACTCAGGGACGGACCAAGTATATTGTATTTTTTGAATTTATATTTATTTGGTAATCAACACAAAATTACTGTTGTCTAATAAAAAATTCAACTACCATTCAAACTAATAGTTTGAAAAGTGTATGTACAACTACACAAACCCGTAGTGTTAATAACATTTAGACAATCAAAACAAACAGTTGTTGAAATACTACAGAAATAGTAGTTCATATTTTTAAAATACAACGTGAAATAATAGTTGTTTGAAGCAAATTTTTTTTAGTAATCTTTAGAGTAGCTATCTGATAAACAATGTAACTACTGTCATGAAAGATAGTTTGAATATTTCACGGAAAACTACAAAACACTGTTGTGTTAATAATCAATATACAACTAAAACAAACAGTACTTTGAATACGAATAATGTTAGTAGTCCATATTCTAGAAATACAACAAAAGATAACAGTTGTCTCATGCTATTTTTGTTTAGTAGTCTTCCGAGCAGCAGTCTGATATATCTTTCAATTACTTTTTAAAGTAGATGTCTATATTGTTGAACAACAACACCACGAGTTAGAAGTCTGAAGTTAAAAACAACAGTAGTATTCATTATAGATAGACAACAAAAAATCACAGTTCTCTTTAACTCTAAAACACAGATGTTTTACTCATACTAGGACAACACTAAAAAGTGGTACTCTAAAACATTACAAAACAGGTGTCGTCAACAATTTTACACAATTGTTTTTAAACAATAGTCTGTAAATATATCAGACAGCTGCTTGGAAGACCACTGAAATCAGCACCGAGAGACTACTAAAAGAAACAGTTGTCAACATCTGTTTTTGACGTAGTGCAAGTATAATCTGAGCATTTTGTAAAGTGATACCGACCTTTCCAAATGGGAGATGGAAGGCGTGACTCCCAGGATGCCACCTCTCACCTAAGGCGGTGATCAAGCCCCTATCAAGTTACAGTCTACTCACTCAATCCACCCCGTAAAACCCATAATCTCGTAAAATAGCATCAACAAGTACTTGAAGAACTAACGCCTCCCCCTCTTGTAAACTCCCAAATTAGCTAACACATTTCAAAACAACGTCTTGACTTCTTTAAGCTTTAAGTTCCTGATTTTTTATACTCCTTTTGAAATGAATCTTTACTCTTTATATTTTTAACACACACAGACCAAGGGCTTTTTGTGTTTCATCTCTTATATCTTGCTCATAGGCTATTGTTGTTGTTTTTATACTTTGTTCTTCTCCTACCCAATCATATAATTTTTTTTTGTAGAGAAGCAACAACCATTTATCATTGTTTTGTAAAATGTGTGGATAGCCTTTAAATCCTCATTGTAAGGTTGAAGATAGTCTTTAAACCTTTGATTATAAACGATTGAGATAGCCGGTGTAAAATCTCATTTGCTTATTGGCAAGGATTGTTTGCCAAACCTCGTTTGAGTCTTCTTAGTGAAGCCAAACAAGTTAGTGGAGGTTTAATCCTTCAGGAGAAGCCTCGAGGTACTGGACGTAGGGAGTTCCCGAACCAGTATAAAATCGTTAGTGTCATGCTCCTATTTTTTTGCTCCTTTTCCGCTATTCTTTTTGCGCCTAAGTTTTTATTTTTACGAAAAACTTTTAAACAGCCTAATTCACCCCCCCTCCTCTTAGGGTGTAACCGACTTTCATTTTGATTTGGCCAGCTTTCGTTGATTAATAACTCCAGATTCTTTCATTTCCATATAAAGATCATTTCCTTCACGAGTATCTTCCCCTACACCTCCAAATACGTTTGGATGCTCTGTAAGCTTTGGCAATATTGTTAATTAATTCCATAATTAGGAAAGTGTTTCCTACTCAAGCCCCCCCAAATAGTCTGACTTTTTCTCCACGCCGACAAGCTATTGAAATTTTGCTTTTTGACTATAAAAGTTGGACTCCGCCATTTTTCTATATAAAAAATAATCAAGAGCCAATTTGCTTGCATTGATGACAGTGCTAACTAAAGATCCTTTGAATATAGTTTGAATATAGATTGTAACAAATCTTGATTTGTCTTCAATAATTAAATGGGCGAAATACTCCACGCACGGGAAAGTCGTCAAGCTCAAGGGTTTCATGATTAGACATTGAACACGTTTGATATGATGTTTGGCTCAATTTATATAGGCGGGCTTGGCCCGCCCGGATATTTGGGAAAACAATTGACCTCAGACCTGGCCCGTATCTGTGTTTATGCATGTCTAAATTGGAATAACTAGTTTACCAACATTATCATATTAATAATCAAAAAAGTTTGGTGATGCGGAGTACATGTTTCGTTAAGTTTGTAATGATAAAAGACTCGTTTTGCCACTAAATATTTAATGGGTGTTTCAAAGGGGCAACGACCCCTTGGCGGGGGGTCTGGGGACAGCGCTCCCGGAAGAGGGGTTCAATGGGTGGTAGCCCATGCGGGGTCTCCCGGAAGAGGGGTTCAATGGGTGGTAGCCCATGCGGGGTCCAAAGCGGTATAATAAAATCTGAATCACATCTCTTGAATAATTTTGCTTAATAGACACGAACATTGGAGAGAGGCACAAAACGATGAACTATAGTTCTCTATTTCCCGCATCTATAAAACATCTGTATGATTTGTTGAAAGAAATTAAAAGGTTCAAAATTATCACAACCATTACATACTTTGTTTTTTAAATTCTCTCTAAATTTCTTTCGATTGGAAGATTCGTGTGAACTGCCAAACAATTTTGATATGAAAGAGAATACACGCTTTCAAAGAATCCTAAATTTCCTAACACAGATTGTCTACTATTAATCCTAAATTTGTAATGAGTAAACAAAAAGGTTAGAGAATAAAGGTATTTTTTTAAAACGCATGCTATTCTTAAAGTAAAGAAGTCAAGGTGGATGGAACATTCCTCCAACTCACCACGAAAAAGAATGTAGAATTAAATGTCTAACAGTAAAATAAAACAATAGAGAAAATAAATGACTAAGGCACCTTTAAAATATAACTTTGATGTAGTGTCGGCCACCAAAGTCCAAATGCCAACACCAGAGACAACGAAGATCATCTGTAATAGAGCAGCAACGACTACCTAAGGTAGCTGAAGTCCCGGAGGATAGAAAAATAAACGACAAGAGTGACGAAATACGACAAGAGGATACATAAAATGATTATATGTAGTGAACTTGTATAATGAAAAAAATTAATTATGAGCCCATGGAAATAATTGTGAGAAAGTCCACATTTCATATATGACCTTAGAACCATATTAACAAAACTCCAAAAAAACATGAACTAACACACGCTTGTAAAATAAGCCAAGCAATATAGGGTGTTTGTGTTGTGACTTACTCTTATTGCTGACACGTAATTTCTAAGTTATAAAACTCTTATAAGTTAAATAGTTTTTTGTGTAAGCAAAATTGTTAGACAACTAATTATGGTTAATACTAATTGTTGTAGACTTTGTATTATTAATCAATTTCTATTATTGTTTTCTAATTCTAGTTGGGATTGTATTCCCTCCCTATATATACTTTATCTTGTATTCCTTATTTCTTGAGTAATACAATTGATTCCATTATTCGATATGGTATCGTATCACAAGGTATCCTTTTTTTCACACAGCTTAATCACCGCCCTTACAATTGTCGTTCATCTACGGCTGCACGGCTTAATCGACACCATCACGCTTGGTCATCCGTCTACTTCCGTCGACCGTCCCACATCGTCCTTCTGCTAACCAACATTGTCATCATCATCGCTGAAGTATCTCTATTCTTGTGTTCCTTCATTTTTCATGACAAATAGATCTGTCAAAGATCACTTCGACTCCTTACCTGGAGGCACGTGACTTTCTCTCCGCAACTTGCACTCTCTTGTTCCCGTCAAGTTGAAAGACAGCAATTACCGTTCTTAGTCGTCGACTGCCAAGGCTACGCTTGAGGAACATCGACAATTAGGTTATGTTGATGGCACTAAAAAACCCCCACCGATGCTGATTTTAGATGAGAAAGCACTGGTGAGTGCTGATAAATAATCGGTCATGAAACCAAATCCGACATATGAATAGTGGATTATTATTGATGCTCAACTTCGTGCATCTCTCCTTGCCCTCTTCTCACCAACAATCCAGAATTTCGTCCATCTCTTTTCTACTGCTGCTGAAATCTGGAGTCACTTACATCAGAGGATAACTCTTTGTCCCGAACTCATATATTTCAGCTCAAAGAACAACATCACAGTCTTAGGAAGGATCAATCTACCATGCAAGCTTATCTTGATGCTGCACTTTGTATTGTTACGCCTCTCACTCTTGCACGTGAACCAGTACCAAAACATGATATTATTCTTAGTGTTTTGCATGGCTTGCCCTCGAAATATGCCTCAATTAAAGAAAATATTGAAACGAATATTGCTAATCTCACCTTTAACAAGGTTTCCTCTTCTCTATTGCCTGAAGAACTTAATATTCATATAGAGAAAAAGTTGCACCTGAGTTCTTCAATCATGTATAATGCAGTACACACGACCATATATGCTGCACCTGGTCGTGAGGAAAATCAACGGGGTCGGGATCGTGGTCGGTTCCCTAGTAGCCGTGGAGGAGGCTGAGGTAATGGCGGCTGAGGGTGCGCCAGTGGTGGAGGTCGATTCTCGCAAAACCGTACTAACGGCCGAGGGCGTGGACTATCGCGTGGTGGATCTCTTTTGCGCCAAATTTGTTGGAGATTTAATCATGGTGCAGGACAGTGCTGGAATCATTATGATGAAGATTTTTCTAGCACTTGACTTCTGATTTATCAAGGATGTATAGTCATACTTCATATCACGGCTCAAACTTTGTCTCTACGGCTGGGGGCAATCTCTTCCCATATCCTATGTAGGCTCATGTCAAGTCTCTACTCCTTCTGACATCTTTACCCTCTCTAATCTCTTTCATGTTCCTAACATACAAACCCATCTCTTATTCGTTCACCAATTTACCACTAACAATAATTGTTCTAGTCTTTTAAGTCTAAAGAATTTATGATCCTGGAAAATCCTACCTACAAAGTTATATACAAAGGCTCATGTGAGGGGGTAACTTCGTAAAGGCAACATCTCATCAGTGCACTGTAGGTATGGTCATCCATTGTTTCAAGTTACAAAATTGTTTTTTACTCACTTAAGGGTCAATCCAGAGTTTGATGTTTTTCAGTGTGATTCTTGTTCCACGTCAAAGTCTCATAAATTACCTTTTCCGTCATCTACTTCTGTTATTACCAATTAATACATTTTGATGTTTGGGGTCCTACATCTATTCCTTCATTTGGTGGTTATCAATTTCACATTAATTTTGTGGATGATTTTACATAATTTTGTTGGTTGTACCATCTTAATAAAAAATCTGATGCTTTCCATGTTTTTCACAATTTTCATTCTATGATCACAAGTCAATTCAGCACAAACATAAAAATTTTCCAAATTGATAATGGTCGCGAAAATGTGAATCGTCAGTTTGGTCTCTTTTTACAACATTTGGTGGTCCTTCACCATATGTCTTGCCCATATACACCTAAACATAATGGGGTAGCTGAGTGTAAGCATCACCATCTTATTGAAACTACGGTCACCCTTCTCTACACTTGTCTCTTCCAGCTACCTTTTGGGTTTAAGCCTTGGCTACAACGAGTTACCTTATTAATCATACGCCCAAACAATATCTGCAAAATAAGTCTCCCTTTGAGATTTTGTATCACACACGTCCTACCCAGTCTCATCTTCGTGTCTTCAGGTGTCTTGCCTAGCCTTATCTAAGACATGAAATAGACCATAAGTTACAACCACGTTCCAAACATTGTGTCCTTCTTGGGTATGTCCAGTTATCCAAAGGATATCGTTGTTATGACATGTCAACTAGTCGAGTCTATGTGTCTTGTCATGTTCGGTTCAATGAACATGAGTTTCCCTACTCGGTATCCACACCCTCCCCACCACCCTAATCTTTGTTTGGTATTTTACCTCTCTTCCCTCCCATTTCTTCTGTGTCCTTAAATCGCACTCACGTAATTTCTGAATGATCTCCGTTTACAAGTTTATCCTCCACACTTGTTTTGTGACAAGCAATCTGCTATTTATCTCACAAAGAATCCGGTGTTCCACAAACGTATGAAGCATTTAGGTACAGATTGTCAATTTGTTAGGGAAGAAGTTATTCCTGGTTCTATGAGTGTATCTAGTGTTCTCTCTGAAGACTAGTTTGCTGATTTACGGGCAAGCCGATGCCGAAGCCACGTTTTCGATCTCTTTTCTGCAAGCTTCCGTACGTGACACGGCATTCAGGCAACTAATTATATATGGTCAATCCTAATTGTGGTACACTTTGTATTTTTAAAAATTTTCATGATTGTTTCCTAGTTCTAGTTGAGATTGTATTCCCTCTTTATATATACTCTACCTTATATTCTTTACTCCTTAAGTAATACAATTCTTTCCATTATTCAATAAAAATGACTTAAATGATGGACAAATCTTTTGGGATATTTTTAAATAGTGAGAGATAGTTTTGTAAATAATCTAATGGAAATGAAGAAACAAAAAATTTAACTTAAAAAAGCTGATAAGACTTACTTCTTTTTTTCTTATAAGTAGCTTATAGGTAATTTGTGCAGCAAACGAGAATATTGTTGGGCAGCAAGCTGGCTGAGTTTGTGCAGTGCGTCTGGCCTGGTTTGACGTTTGGGCAGTGATGGACGGTGGAATATTGTTCTGGGGGGGGGGGGGGGNATTTGTCATGGTTAGGCAATTTGAATCAATTGTAATTTCATTATATTATTGTGAATATGCATGACGGTAATCGGAGGGCTAATAAGTCCTCGATAGGCCGCTACTTGATATGTTGTTCTTCTTGAGTTGTGACATGAATTGGACAAAGCTTATTGGTGATTGATTGTGAATTGTGACTTATAGATTGATCGATACATAGGTCACCTAGTGTTGTAGGCTGATCGGTACTGAATTGAATACTTAATCACCAATAGGATTTGTTAGGAATCAGGCCATGTGAGGCGTGAGTGCATTCTCGATGACCTTAGTACGGTGAATCAGGCCGAGCTTATCTAAGGCTGCAAATCTCTATCCATCATCGCTTCATCGCTTCATAGTTGAAAAGTGGAGAAGAAATTATGAAAGTAAGGGTAGTTTAACTGTGTGTTCATGAACTCTGGATTTGTATATGTTTTCTCCTAAATTCATTACATTGATTAAACCTCTGGATGGGTTTGTTAGTTAATTGCTTTTTGAAGTTAAGATTACTTTTATTAAGTGTAAGAAAATTCTAGTTTTATGTTCATATGCTTTTGAATTGAGTTATGAGTTGAGGTAGTATTTTCTGTGAGGTACTCCATACAAGCATTCTTTTGTTTTTATCTTCTATGCTTGTAAAGTACGTTCGAAGTATTAATTTGACAGATTTGTAGTATTGGTCTGATAAGGTTTGGCCTGAGGTGTGTGTAACTAATTGAGCTCAAACTAACATGCAAGTACTCACTCCTATTTGAATAAATTGTACTTGGTAAAGAGTTCGAGATTGACTTGGAGCAAACGAGATTTTTTTTTCTAAATAAATTTTTTTATAAATTAATCTACCATTCGAGTGTTAATGATTGTTGGCAATCAATCCATTTTTCTTCTATATACTTGATAATTGCTTAATATATGAACATTATTGCTTGATTTTTGTTTGATTATTGGCAATTTTTGCTTGTCAATTTTGATTTAGTCTCTATTTATCATTGTTAACTACCCATATATAGTTTAAAGTTATGCCACCTAGAATGATTGTAAGGTATGCTACTTATACTGAGATACTCCTTTTAAATGAATTGTATAATACATGCATGACTCTAATTATTAAAATTAAAAATTGCTTAGAAGTTGATTTCAGAGTATTCATTAGACATATTTTAAATTAACATGTATTTCTTGATTTGCATATAGGATTGGAGCGGTGATGAGCATGATCCTAAAAAACGTGTCTTTGGTGTAGGCAAGATGTCAAGGACCATGCGTCATGAAAAATGGACTTCCACGCGCCGTCGTATGAGTATGAGTTCTGATGCTGAATCATATGCTGCCTCTCAACCGTCTATCGTAGAATCTCTCAAGGGAGATATTATCCAGATGCTCCGTGAACCTATTGCCCAAACGATCAGGGAAGAGATGCATAGAGATGCATAGATTGTTTGGAGATCGCTTGCCCCGTAGAGAGGACAGAGGAGACGGTGACAGAAGTGCACCTCAATGTTAGTGTAATGGTTTAATTTTTTAAATGGAAACAATAGACATTTTTTTATGTGACGAGTACATTAAGTCTTATTTTAGAATATGACAAATATTGAATTGAAACTCTTATCTTGTGGAATAAATATGTGTTTTATTATGTTTAATTTGAGTATACTTGTTACATTTGATGGTTAATCTTGCGTAAAACTGAGGATGAACGTAGTACGATTTGCGTTGGTTGTTTTCAACTTATGCAATGGAATAGTTTGTTGCAGTTGCGCATGAAGATTTTTTGTAGCAAATATTGCAATTGAATTTCTGTTGCATTTTCCCGTTGCAATATTCTGCAACGGAAAAGGAGTTGCAAATTTCGGTTGCATCACGTTGCAACAGAAATTCCGTTGCAATCTTTAGCAATGGCATTTCAGTTGCAATTTTTCGTTGCAATATTATGCAACAGAAATGAAGTTGCAAAATTTCGTTGCATTACGTTGCAACAAGAATTCTGTAGCAGCTGTTAGCAATGTCATTTTCATTGCAAATTCCCGTAGCAAATACTTGCAACGACAGTTTCTGTTGCAATTCTCCGATGCAATGCTAATGCAACGGAATGTCCGTTGCAAACAGGAATCTGCAACAATGGTTTTTGCAACGGCAGATGTGCAACAAAATGTTCATTGCAATTGGCCATCAGCAAGGAATACTATGAATATTGCAACGGATTTTGCCGTTGCAATTCAGGCCATTTCTTGTAGTAAGCTTATATGCATAGAGAAATACGTCATCGGCTGACTTTTAAAATTAAAAATAGCTCATAAGCAGTTTTGACCAGCTTATAAGCAGAGAGAAATACTAAGATATTATTGAAATTTTTAAAAATGTACGTCATTTCAAAATAATTCAAAAGTAAAAATTGAGCATTATTTATTATTATTCTCAATACAAATATTAATATTTTATATCTATAAAAGTATTGTCATTTTTTAATACCAAGTAATATTTACTACTTATAGTTTCATATCCTAGAGTTAATTTTTTCTCCCTATTTTTCTATAATAATGATCAACTATATATCGGTATCAAATGTTACATAGTACTCCTTCCCTCCTAAAATGTTTTTTACACTTTATGCAAGAATTGTGAGAACCCTCACCGTGTGAGTTGATTTAAAGGAATTATAAAACAATTTTAAGGTCATTCTTTATTGAGTAACGTATGAGAATTGGCTCAGGGGTCTTGCCATAAATTTGATGTCTACTTTATTTTCGACCAAACATATAATACTATGTGCGACTTATATATATACTTGCAATACAATCCAGAACACTTAACTAATGAATGTAATAAATTTTATACATCAATTTGTAGAATTAAATTAGATGTTTTGTGGAATCTAGAGACAATCATCACTCACAACTAGGATGATCAATTTTAATTTAGGCCCCAACTTATTTTTTCTTATTTTTTCTTATTCTTATTAAAATCATATCATATCAGATCAGATCAGATCCAATCAGATCAGATCAGATCAAATCCAATCAAATCAGATCAGATCAGGATTTATTAAAATCAGATCCCATAAAGAATTATTATTATTATTATTATTGTTGTTGTTGTTGTTGTTGTTCTTAAAAATGAAAAAGAATAAACTTTAGAAATAGGTTAAATAGAAAAATGAGAAAATAATCCTTAATTATTAGACATCGGAAAAATTAGTTTTAAAATACATTGACAATGTCAATCTAATTCTACTTTTAAAATATATTTTTATTGCTACTTGTAATTTTAGTTTCTAAAGATTTGATCTTTTATAAGGATGTGATATTTTAATAAAAATACTATCTCTTCTATATATTGATTATCTAAATTTAATTACTTTTTAATGTATATCTAAATTAAATATTTATTCTAATGTATATATGAAGTAATTATTAAAATCTTAAATTAATATTCTAATTTCACAAAAAAATAATCATAAAATAAAAAATATTATTACATTATAATATGAATGATTATTCTAATATATGAATTAACTATTTTTATTTTATTAAAAAATAATCATTAAATAAAAAATATTGATTATATTATAATATAAATTATCATTACAATTTTCAAACGTTATTATAAAGTCAAATCAAATTATTGATTTGAAATTTTAAATTAATTTATAATTAATCAAATCAGACCAGATCAGATCAAATCCAAACAGATCAGATCAGATCAAATCCAATCAGATCAGATCAGATCCAACCAGATTAGATCAGATCAGATCCAATCAGATCAGATCAGATCAGATCAGAACTTATTAGAATCAGATCAGATCAGAAAAAATAAGTTGAACGGAACGGAGCCTTACTTCGGTGATAAGAGGGCAAGAGAAACCGTTTCATGTGGGAGATGGGGATGAGTTAGTCAGGATGAAAAGTGTTAAGATCGAAGAGAAATAATCTTAAATATGATTTGGTAGGAGAAATTTACCTAAATAGCACTAAAACATAATGACTTTCTCAATATAGGACCGTATATTTTTATTTCCCAATGTAGGACCTTTGGTCATTATGAAGTAGTCATTATTCAACTAAATGTCCATCATTACTGGACATTATTCCTTCCACTAGGTCATTATTAAGTCTTATTTACAGAATAAAAAAGTTTAAATCCTACATTAGGAAAGTCATTATGTTTTAGTCCTATTTAGTGCAAATTTCACTTATTATTATTATTATTATTATTATTATTATTATTATTGGATGAATCATGATATACTTTGATAATTAATTAGTTTAATTAATATGTCGGATATCATCTTTGGAATTATCTTTTTTATTAGTGTCATCTGAGCTACTTGATTTTATATTTTGTAGGGAGTAATGTCTTTGAATAAACAATAAATTCCTTAAACTTCAAATAATGAATTTGGATAATCTTATACTCCCTCCGTCCCCCATAGATCTTCTCAATAGCCCTTTTTCTTTGTCCACAATAGATCTTCTCATTTCATTTTTTAACAATTAAAATACCACAACTACCCCCACTTACTTTATTTATTACACTTCACCCACTTCATTTAATACACTCCACCCATTTTTCATTAAGGGTATTATGGTAAACTTTCACCTTTTTTCAACTCTCCTTAAAAACCACCAAAAGTCAAAATGAGAACATCTTAGGGGGACGGAGGGAGTAATTTGTAATGTTTCTTTATACAAATTAAGTAAAGAATATCTCCTTCGAAACTTTAACAAATAATACTCCGGGTTATACATTTAAGAAACACCATACTTTGTTAGTATTATGCATTTTGGATTTACAAAGACAAAGACCAATAAAAATATTAGTTCTAGATGACAATAAAACTCTTGCAACTATACTTAAAATGTTTTGTATACCATGATAGAGTCTTTCAAAAAAATTGGATTTAAACAACACTTTATCGTGTACACTTTTAATTTCCATCTCAAATATTATTTATTCTATTTTGATGTTGATATCTTTATAGTATTAGGAATCATGTTATAAAACCCTTTAATCCAGAAAGAAATATAACATGAAATTTTTTTAAAATCAATAAAAATTTTGTTTCATCCCGTGCGTGGCACGGGTCAAAGTACTAGTTTTTCTATAATAATGATCAACTATATATCGGTATCAAATGTTACATAGTACTCCTTCCCTCTTAAAATGTTTTTTTACACTTTATGCAAAATTAATTGAATTTTCAATTTTTTGATTTATTTTATTTAAATATTGGAAAACTAAGTTATTATAAATAAAAATTATATATTTAAAAAACTACGTGAAAAGTTCTACAAAACAAGAAATGACAAAATTATTATATTTTCTCAAATAATCCATCTAAACCCAAAAATAAACAAAACCTTTTGTAACTTTTGAACAATGAAGAATGTAATTATTTGTAGACGGAGGAAGTATATAAACGCACATTAAGAGTCTATTCTTTAGAACTGACAAAAGAGAACATGATGTTATAAAAAACTGGAAGGAAAAAGATTAAAGTATGAGTAAAACATAGAAAATATACCAAAAATAGGACTATCCTGTTTTTATTCCCAAGAAATGAACTAAAATCATTTACATTACCAAACATGATCATGTACATTACCAAAAAGTATAGTAATGTGTACATGTACAATGCCACATTACCAGCACATTACCATAATGCGAACTCTTATTTCAGGAATAAAAATATAGAACTCATATTTTGGTACTTTTTTTATGTTTTAGTCCTATTCCGGATGATTTCTAAAACTGAAAGAACTAGAAGAACTGGAAGAAACTGAAAGAAACTCAAAAAACTCTAAAAAATGGGAAAGAATTAAAAAATTTTAAAAAAGTTTATTTTTTTGTATTTTATAGTATTCTCATTCTAATTGTAAACTATTATTATTATTATTATTATTATTATTATTATTATTATTATTATTATTATTATTATTATTATTATTTGTTGGGAATTAAACACACAACACACACAAATAATCTGCGAGAAACGAGAGAAACGGAACACAAACGACACACAAGAATTTAACGTGATTCGGTTTCCCTAATCCACGGCTGCAACAGGAGGATTTTCTTATTTCACTTGTGGTGCGAATTACAAGTACAAGTACAAGTATGCAATATATATAGGAAGAGTGCATCTAGGGTTTCGTAACATGGGCCGGGCCAAAAGTCAAGCCCAAGCCTCCACAAACCCAACATTATTATTATTATTATTATTATTTATATTATTATGATAATCATCATCATCATCACCACGTTATTATTAAGTATTTTTATTTTTCATATACAAAAAACTAATTTTTCTAAAAAGAAAATAATTATAATATAAATTTAGCATAAATATAAAAATGTTAAACTTTAAAAAGGTATTGTGGTTTTATTGCACCTTAATTTATTTATGCAGTATTTATTATAAATTATATATTTGCAATTATACTTTATATATTACAAAATTTTATTTTAAATATCAGAAATGTCACATAACGTAATCAAATCTATTTTTCTTTGATGATTGACATTTTATTTTCATTGTAACTCTTATTTTTAGAATAAAGACATAGAGTTTTTTTTTACATTTTTTATGTTCTACTCCTATTTTAGTCTTTTTCTCTAAACTATTTTGATTATCAATTTTTTTTATAAAAATTAGAAAAATGAGAAAAATTTGAGTAATAAAGGGAAAGGTGAGGGGTAATATATAAATTTAGATTAATAAAACATTCTATGTAACTATTTTGTCCATAATTTTTTAATACAGTTTAAAATATTGATGTTTTCCAGTTTTATCATGTAGTTTAATATACAAAAAAATTATCTTATTTATATTAAAAAATTGAAGAAAAAATAATGACTGTGAATCATAAAAATAGTGAGACGAAAAAATAATTTATAAAATATAGTTATCAGCATAACATTTGTAATAATAATAATCACATTAAAAATATATCTTTTCTATAGTAATTAGTTGGGAAGTAGAAAAAGTTTGAGGAAAATAAGAATAGTTGATGAAACTAAAAGAAGTGAAAAGAACTGAAAAAATTGAATGAAATTGAAAAGAACTATAAAAAAAATTCAAAGTGAATATTTAACCCCGAAAGAACAGTGTCTAAGGCTCCGTTTCGTTCAACTTATTTTTTCTGATCTGATTTTAATAAGTTCTAATCTGATCTGGTCTGATCTGATTGGATCTGATCTGATCTGATCTGATTGGATCTGATCTGATTAATTATGATTTGATTTAAAATTCAAATCAATAATTTTGATTTGACTTTATAATAACGTTTGAAAATTGTAATGATAATTCATTTTATAATATAATCAATATTTTTTATTTAATGATTATTTTTTAATAAAATAAAATTAGTTAATACATATATATTTGAATAATCATTCATTTTATAATGTAATAATATTTTTTATTTTATGATTATTTTTTTGTGAAATTAGAATATTAATTTAATATTTTAAGAATTACTTCATATATACATTAGAATAAATATTTAATTTATATATACATTAAAAAGTAATTAAATTTAGATAATCAATATATAGAAGAGATAGTATTTTTATTAAAATATCTCATCCTTATAAAAGATCAAAGCTTTAGAAACTCAAATTACAAGTAGCAATAAAAAAATATTTTAAAAGTTCAATTAGATTGAAATTGTTAATGTATTTTAAAACTAATTTTTCCGACGTCTAATAATTAAGGATTACTTTCTCAATTTTCTATTTAACTTGTTTCTAAAGTTTATTCTTTTTCATTTTTAAGAATAATAATAATAATAATAATAATAATAATAATAATAATAATAATAATAATAATAATAATTCTTGATGGGATCTGATTTTAATAAGTTCTGATTTGATCTGATCTGATTAGATCTGATCTGATTGGATCTAATCTGATCTGATTTGATTAGATCTGATCTGATCTATGAGTGGATCTAATTTGATCTGATCTGGTTTGATCTGATTTTAATAAGAATAAAGAAAATAAGAAAAAATAAGTTGAACGGAACAGGGCCTAAAGTAGTAGGAAATTTTAGAATAGTTATGGATAGTTGACTGGGTTATTCTTTTCCGGTTCCAACCCGTTAACTCTTGACCTATTTCTTTCTCGGGTTCGACATCGGATCCGGTTTTATTGGCCCATTGAACTATCCTGCGGAATCTATTTATTGTTGAAAGCCCACTAAATTGCGGATGGACGATGGCCACGACGCGAGGTCTCAGACAATAAAACAACATTCTCCAACTTCACCAAGTTGTGCTTGTACACCCACACAGCGAATACGCAAGATTTAACACAGTTGAGCTATCAAAGCAAACGAAATAGGCGATGATGATCATGAGAAAGTCCACTCTTCTCCGCCTAGCCCTTCCTCGAATCCTTCAATCTCCCAGAAACCATTCATCTCTTCCGACTAGTTCTCCGATCTCCCACAGGTGCCCAATCTAATTTTTTCCCCAGAATCACTCTCTATTCCTGCCTTTAATCGCACTAATCATACGTTTTCTTCAGCCCGTTTTTGGGATCGTTCTCGCGCCTATACTCTTCGAACGTTGATTTCAACCACTCCGACGAAGAAAGCAAGAGGCGCTTGTTCAACAGGTTTCTTAACTTGGCGAATCTTTCCTTCTTGAGATTTTTTCATTTTTTCAAAAAAGCAACTGTGAAGTTGTTGGGGCTATAAATGAAGATGGAATTTTTTATATAGACCTAAATCATACTCATTTTGACTTATAAGAAATTTAATAGAGGGTTATTTTTTATGTGCACTTTTCAAAAATATCTTATATGTGAGGGACAAAAGTAAGATGTGATATGTAGATTATTAGTAAAAACTTATGATGTGATAGGTAGAATAAGAATTAGTAAGGGAAGTGTGGTTTTATAATAAAAAGAAGCACAAGAAAAAAAAGGAGAAAATTTTTGGGATAGTTGGTACATACGTATAGTCATCACTCCGTGTTAGAGTGCATCCCACATTGGAAGTTCAAGAGTAAAATAATCGGTATATAAACTCTTGAGTTGAACTAACTAATCGATTGGATTCAATCTTTTAATATGATTCAGCCCAAGTGTCTTATTGTTCAATCCAATGATCCATTCCCCATCTTAAATTCTATCAGTCCTTATGATGGTGGGGTCTACTCTTCTGTATATCATAAATAGAGGTTGCAATCGGGTCAATCAGTTCGGTTCAAATCGGTTTAATTTCGGTTCAAATTTGATTCGGCTCTATACATTTTTTGGTTTCAGTTCGGTTTAGATACGGTTCGGATGTAAATTGGTTTGGATAGATTTCGGTTCGGATACAATTTGAATCAGATATATTTCTATATAGGATTGAATGATATCTATTTTGGCTTTTAAAAAATTTAATACATGGATATTTTTATGCTGACTTTTTTAAAATACATTTGATGATGGGTAAAAGTAAGATGTGATAGGTAGGTTATTATTAAAAATGTATATATGATATGATAGGTAGGATAACAATTTGTAAGGGAAAAATGGTTTTTTAAAATAAAGGACTTTTGTGGCACAAGAAAGAAAAAGAAAGGAGAATGTTTTTGGGAAGAAGTGAGTATTTTTCTTTATGTTTAGGGTTAGTGTAAATCACTAGTTACCGAGTACAAGGTAAATACATAGGGAGCGTTCATTTCGGTTTAAAAAATTAACTTCCAACTTTATCTAACTTCTTTCAGTTTCATCCAACTATTCCAGTTTCTTCCAACAACTTAAAAAAATATATTTACATATGATGACTATAAAATAACGTTATATATCCAAATTTTTAACATAACACTTTAAACACGGAAAATGATGAATTCTTTTACATATCTCAAGTTAGTTTTTTTACATATTTATTTAGGTGATCATTTAATTGAGTGATTTTTCTAACACTTCATTTTTTTAACATTTTTCAACTCCTTCGAGTTTCCTCTAACATCTAACTTTAGAATTCCAACCGAAAAAGATAGAGCTTTAAATGGCAAATTCCTGAGTGGTTCTTAGGTTCACACTCATGGACCTTAGTAAAACAACACGAGTTGGGCTTCTTGAAAAAACAATAAAGAAAAGATCTACATGTAAGCCCACGAAGAGTGTGAGAAGGTCTACTTCACATGTGGACCTTAAAACCACTGAAACACAACTCACGAAGGCAAATTTTTATATGCACCCTACGTCCATATAAGAACCATAGCCCTTTTCACATAAACAATAAATTATTATAGAGATGCACATTTGTTTTTTTTTCATTTTATTAAATTGCTTATGTAAGAAGGTTCGTGGTGCACCTTAGGTGGATGATCGCTCCTCTGCGAATAAGGCCTAAGTATGAGGTTTTCTTGCCTTGTGTGTAGGCTTCTATACAGGAGCAAACAGCGAGGGTACCTAGAGTTGGACCTCATTCTGGGAGATTGGGTGGAGGAGAATATCAATTCTATGGATGTAAATGGAATAAAGGCTCTTGTTCATGTTCTTGATCTGGTATTTTTTGTTATTTTTTTTTCTCTTTTTTCACCATTCTTACTCATTTACTTCCTTATTTTGTTACCTGCAATTATACGTTGTGGTTTACAATTGTAATCCGTGTAAAGATTGGTCCTTTGACGAGCTCGTGTATGCTTATTTATTATTTGTTCTTGCTTTAAGAAACTGAGAGGGAGTGGTTATGTTTCTCATTCTGTTCCTTATCAGTTACTTCTGAAAACCAGTAGTTACTAAGAGTTTTCTATCAATGAAGGAGACATGGGGTGCATGATGACATAGAAATGTTCTTAATTCCATTTCTCAACCAGTGGGTGGCGCCTTTAGGCCAATAACGAAAACCTTACCTGAAAAAAATCTAAAAAATTTGGATTTTGCTTTGCATTTTACTGGCCATTTTTCATATATCTTTTTTTTCGTTCCTACTATTGTCCTGTTCCAAACACAGCATGTGGGCATTTATGCTAGTATTCTGGTAGAGCAAAACATTAATTTATAGCTACACAAGGTTGTTGGTAATCCTTCCAGTCAAAAGTTCAAACTTGTGGTTGGAGACATATGCTCTAACATGTCTTTGCACCTAAACATCAACTTTTTTTATACTAGTTGACGTGAGATTTGAATTCGTGACATCTAGGTCAATAATGCTCTAATACTTCATCCATGAACTGATACAACCAAAAACTCAAGCTTGTGCTTAGAGGCATATGAAAGGTTTTATAATACTCTTAATAACATTAATGAATTATTAACACGAGGTTATTTATTCTCTTGGCTGCAGGAGAATCCCGATTTGTGGAAGTGGTTGACCGGTCAGGAGCAAGCCCCGGACGCAATCAGAACCAATCCTGTAAGCAAACTGAACAGATTGCAGATGATGCCAATTTACTTATCTGAATCCTGAACCCCTTAGCTTTTTTGTAGTATTAAACTGCATAAAGCTTTTCTTTTTTCCTTTCTCCTCTAGGTGTTCAGCGCTGTACATGAAAAGGTCATGAACAACCTTGACAAACACACAGCTCCCGAGACGCGAAGTACCCCAGGACAGGCATGGGTGAGGGGGTGGGATGATTTCAAAAGAGGCAGAGATGGCCCTATCGCCGGGAATCAGTAGAGCTTTATCTTAGGGCACAACTACAAGTTTTATAACGTACTCGTGTATAGAAAAATGGCACAAAGTATGATATGATTAAATTTTCTGTATATTTTGAACACTTCCAATCACACACAAATAAGACCATTGTGGGAAAACCTTTTAGCTCTGAGTGTTATGACTCAGGTTGAGATTTGATGTTATTACTGTTATGGATAAACCCAAATAAATGATGAGCTCATGCTCTCGTCTCTTGAATCTGCCTAGTTGAATTTCTTAGTTCAAAGTTCTTACTTTTTTTAAAGAGGCAAATAGTCTGGTGCTTTTTTGTAGTTTGGGTCTTTGGGATATGAGTACCGCGACATCTTTTCAAATTTTATTTGTAAAATTTACATGGTTTTGAAATCTTGTACACTCAATCTCTCTAATTCCTTGCATTTTTCCGGTGAAGAGGAGAGAGTATTGGTGTTATTTTCTAAATCACGTGGAACATCGAGAGCACGTTTTTCTATTTTTTTTTTCATGTTTGATTTCTTTTATCGTCTAGCTTTTTTCTTCTTGTTTCATTTTTCACATAATGTTTTCAAAATTAAAAAAAGTGTTTGAAATAAAAAAAAATAAATGATATGAAAAAATTAAGATATAACCCATTCATCTCAAATAAATCATTTTTATTTTTTATTTAAAAAAAAAACTTCTTAAACTTGGACTCGTGTCTACTTTCACTATGCTTTGTAGATGCTCATATTGAGAAGTGAGAGATTCATGAGGAAATTCGGCCCAAAAGAAGACTTAGAGAGTTAGAGAGCACCATGAAGCCCAAAACAGGTAGCCTTGGAGATAAAAGAATAGCCGCCTTGCTCCTGTCATATGGCCTTGGGTAATACGTTCAGGGCTGGTTAGAGAATTTGAGGGCCCCTGACGAGGCGAAAAAGGACCATTAGCTCTAACGAATTAAATTATATAAGGTAGTGTTTGGCAACTAGCATTTCATTTCAATTCATGCATTTCAATTCCAAAATTTGAAATTCAGAATTTCAAATGACAAGGGGAGGTGCATGGATTTCAAATTAAGCTTTGTTTTGAATATAAAGAATTTGATTCAAATTCAAATTTAAAATGCTTAAGTTTCCCAAACATGGAATTTAGGCCAAATCCGGATTTAAAATCCAAATCCATGTTCCCAAACATACCATAAAATAATTTGATTTTTTACATATAAAGCAATTTTGTTTAAATGGTAAATAATAATGGGTCAAGTTCAATTTTTTCAAAGTGTAGAAATATAATTAGAACTAAACTTGAATGATTTGATTACACATAGATCTGCTATTTATAATAGCTACAAGACTATGACCTAATTACGAGCCCAACAAGAATGAGCCCATTAACGACAAACCCTACTACATTCCTTAACACTCCCCCTCAAGTTGAGCATAAGATGAAGGAATGCACAACTTGGACAATTAAAACAAAACTAAGACTAAAAAAAAAGATTGATAAACAACTTGAACTTGATCTACTGTGATAACAACGAACGAAGGTGACCGGCCCTGCAAACGAACAATAAATTTTGATGATGAATGACTCCCACGCGGTGACACGGGGACGACTAACAAGCATCCCAAACTTGGAGGCCGTGTTGCCGGACTGAGGCGCGACTATGCGACCAACCTCACAAACTGATATGTCGAACTGAGGCGCGACTATGCGACCAACCTCACAAACAAACATGTCGAACATACATCTGGTTGCACTTGAACTTACCAAATAGCAACCAAAAAAATGTCGCCAAAAACATCATCAAATTCCGATGACCGGTAGAGTGAACATAAAAACCTTCTTCCTCCAAGCACGAACAAATCAAAACAAATTTAACAAAGTGACAAACCAATCTCACCAACAAGAATGAGTCGTGCAATCATTGATTTACCCTAACAAAGGTAATTGACTGCTTCAAACATTAAGTCCATGCTGCTGGACAATAGAATTGCCGGATGGAACATAAGACGACAACCAGAATTGCCGGACAGAGACGGTAGCAGCGGTGGATCTGAAACAAGAAGCTGCGGTGGATCTGAATCGTGTAGCAGCGGGACTAATCAGACAAACTTTGCCGGCGATAGATGTGAAGGATTCCCCGGCGTCTGACCTGCGGCTAGTGACGGCCAGAAGTCGGTGGCCTCTTGACGATGACTAAATGTTTGGAAGGCAATAAATAATTTTGATAAGAACAACCCAAGGATGGTTTGGTAAAGCTAGAAAGTAGCTTGACGATTGGTAAAGAGAAAACGATGGTGACGCCGCCGTCGCCGAACAAATCACCGGCGACGGCGACGGCGGAAGCAACAAATTAGAACAAACTAGGGTTTAGGTTCCCAGGATGGCTCTGATACCATGTAGAAATATAATTAGAACTAAACTTGAATGATTTGATTACACATAGATCTGCTATTTATAATAGCTACAAGACTATGACCTAATTACGAGCCCAACAAGAATGAGCCCATTAACGACAAACCCTACTACATTCCTTAACACAAAGTTTTATTGTTTGAAAAAATATATAATATCAGTGATATTGTGTATTGTCAAAAAAATATACAATAATGGCTTTTATTGTTTTCTTTTTACAATTTTTTTGTTACAATTTGTCTTATTGTTTTCAAAGTTTTGCAGCGATTGTTTAAGGTTGCATACTTTTGATGACAAACTTTTCTACTTTGTCATGGTGAGTTGTTAGACGATCAACAAAACACAGATAAGCTCACTTACTTGCTAGGCAATCTAATTCTATGTCTTATTTTCTAGAGTAGGTGTATGTCCCTCTTGTGTGTGTTTGTAGTAACTCCAATGTGTGTATGTCCCTCCGGCGTGTATTCTTTACTCATTGACACAGTGCCACTGTAGCCAATCAATGATTTGGGGTGGGGGCAGGGGTTTAGGGGGTTAGGGGTGTAGAAACCGTTAATTTTTCAAACGAAGTATAGTTGACCATTGTTGCCATAATATGAAAACAATTCTTGTGTATGTGTGTGTGTCTATATATATATATATATATATATAGGATTGACTCTAGTGAGATGACACCTTACGGTGAGATCAATGCTTCAGTGAGATGACGCTAAGCTCACCACACTACACTACAAAGCGCACCAATGGACAATGCAAAGCTCACTTAGAAATAAAGCAAAGCTCACCACTTTGAACTCCAAAACTCACCTTTTTTAAATTTTAAAAATTTAAAAATTAATAAAAAATAAGGAGATTTGGGCCCCGTAGAGACAAAGACAAAAAAGGGTTTCTAGTTCTTGGTTGACCCTTTCTTGTCGCTAGTGAAGAGTTTGCTCGATCGCTGGGAAAGGCTGGCATAAGACGCCCAATTCCCATGGCCTTTGGCCAGTTTGAAAGTGAAGAGAAAATGGTCTAAGGTGGGCTCCACCTCGGCTTCCTTACACTTGATCAGATAACCGGCGATGTACCGGTGGGAGTTTGGAACTAGCTGGCAAGGAAGAAGGTCCACCTCGTTGAGGAACTCGATCAACAACGAGTGCAGATCAGAGGGAACCGCAACCCCTTCTTCAAGGAAGCCAGGTGAACAGTGAAAACACTGGAGGAGCATCCAGGGCGGGCGGTCTGGGTCCTGCTAGGTCGCTGGACTTCAATAGAGGGGCCGAACATGTCAGTGGCGTCGGCGAACCCTCGGTCATTAACTTGGCAGTGGCACAACGCCATGATATTCTCCTCCTATTCGACCCTAGTGCCTTTCAGTGCAGGGGTCGAGGAGGTAAATTGCTTCCTCAGCTAGCGTAGCTTTTGGCCAGGCGCTGCCGTTGATGACGGCTAAGGAGAACTGGAATGGCCTTGATCTTGGCCAGGGGCCGAATGATCGGCCTGATGAGAATTGGACATTGGAGAGGCCTAGTCGGAATCAAAGATAATCACTATGGAGAAGGGAGAACTGACATGAAGATTGAGAAAAACGGGTCGGGTAGCGATGAAGAAACAAGTGTTGCAGGTAGAGAAAGATGGCGTCCAGCGGTAGTTTTATCAGAGTGGGGTGGAAGGCGAAGCGGCAGGTCATGATTGTATTTAGTGGAGATCGTGCCAACCGTCACGCGAAAACCAAGGAACGGCTCTGATCCGTTGAGGGGGCGCCCACATGGACCTCGTAAACTCCCCATTCCTCGACGCAGCCCATCTGGGGAATGAGGAGTTGGGGGGCTTGTGATGGGCCGATACCCAACAGGCAGCCCAAATACCACACCTGAACGGAGCTGGGTCATTGGAGCCAGGGTGCACAAATCTGGGCCGGCCCAAGAGGTTGGGCCCGGGGCAATCCGACAAAGAAGACAGCTGAAAGAGTTCAACCAAAGAGAGGAGATTCAGCGAAAGGCGGGGACTTAGCCGAAGAAAGTGGATCGCGCCATTGGCGGATTAGTCTCCCCTGATTATGAACTACCTTAATCACTCAAGAAACCATGTATAAATAGAGAGGACCCGAATGGGGATCCTCAAGCTGGATCAAGCTAATAAAACCTATAATTCTCGAGTTCTTGTTCATTATAATTTCTTTCAATCCGCTTTTCTGAATCGGATCATTTGGTGGATTTATTGTCCATCACTTTGCATGCAGATTTTCTTTGTGATCATGCAACAAAACTGGTGCAAATATACACTTGAGATGGAGTTTGTTTTTAATGAACAAGTTTTGTATAGGTTTATGTTACTATGCATTCTCAAGATTAAAGTAATGCATTGTCATTAGAAAATAATACATTTTTAGAATGATAAAGTATAATGCGTTCTGTTATTGTGCATTATCAAAATCAAGGTAAAATTTGAGATATTTTTGAATATGAGTTAGAAACATGTCGAATAATGCACACTCTAATATATTAAAATGCATATTTGATATTTCCAAATGCAAAATGGGTTTTCTTTTTATAAAGTTTTTTTTATTGCCTATTAGCTCAAATGGTAGAGCGGTATGTACGATAGATGTGGGTTTGAATCCCCCATAGGAAAAATACTTGTCCAATTTGTACTAGAGTCCTTTTTTAAATACAATGCATTCTCAAGCTTTTTCAGTTGCATTCAAAATCATTTGGGATTGATAATTCACTACTCCACAAATAAATAGAAAAAAGGGAGAAGGACCAAAGTAGTAGTAAAACATATGACATATCCTCAAAATAAGATGTGAAACTTAAACTCCCCTAAGTAGGAGTAATTAACTTAATTCATTTAATGACTTAGAGTTAAGGAGCAAAATAGATGTAAAACATTAACCATATATCAAAATGATTTTGGTTCAGGTGAGAATGCGATCTTATGAAAGAAATAAGAATGAATCTGGTGCTTTAGATTGTGAGATCTAAGGGATAGGATTGCATCAAAATTAGGTGCACCAAAATGGTTTTAAAATGCATCATGTCGAAATGCACCAAAATCCCTTGAAAATGCACTATCTCAAAATCTGAGTGCAGGATGCAATCTGAGCCGCACGATGCATCAGATCCAAAGGCTAGATTTTATTCTTATTTCTTTCACCAAGGTGCATTCTCACCTGAACCGGCCCCTATCAAAATAGAAGTTATATTCATATTACAAATATGAAATCAAATACATTTTGTAAATTAAAAAAATCCTAAATTAGCTACAGCCCCTGCCGCACATGTCACCGTTGCCACCCCTGCGGCCATCGCCGCTACTGTCGTTGCCACTACTTCATTGCCACAATATCCTGCTGCCATCTCTATTAAGTGCGGCCACCATCTACATTGTTGCTGCCACTAACACCACCATGGTCGACACTATCGGCGTCATCGCCACAACGATATGCCACTCTCATCCCCATTTGTTGCGGATGCCACTCTTTATTATGTTTTACTCTCATCCCCATTTCCTGCTGTCAATGTCTCAATTTACTACCAACGTTGGGGTCAGGACTCCCATTATCGCCATCATAGTGCCATGGTGTCACTGCCAAGGGAAAAAACTTTCAATACAATGACAACCAAAGCGACAATATCAAAGACGATAATGCATACTTACAAACATGTCATTGCATAATGTCAAACATGTTATTGCGTAATGCCAAACATGTCAATATAAAATGTCAAAAACAAAGTGAAATGTCAAGATTTCCAACATACAATGTCAAGTTTTTTTATCACTATTACCAAATTTTGCTGAAACTGGGAGCAAAATTTAAACACACATAATAGAAAAAATTTCAAAACAATTAAAAGAAAAACAATCAAATACAAAATCATAGTCATCACAACTAGCGGCAATTTCAGCTCTGCTGGATATAGGCGGTGCGTTTGATCTGCAAGGGGGGAGAGATAGAGGCGGCGCTCCGCGGCTGATCTACAGGAGATCCTACGTGACAGATCTGCAAAGGAGGAAGCTAGTGCGCCGGAACCTTAAGGAATGGGGTGGCGGTGAGGTGCTGCAATTGGGGTTGATTTGATAGAGGCAACGCTTCAAAATTGTGAGGGTGGGGGCCAAAAATGGGAGAGAGGGAAGAGAGAGAGGCATGGTGGCGTGGCTCTGAGGAGAGGGAGCAAAGAGATATGAGATTAATTAGAGATTTAATAATATTTATGAAGTTTTCTTTGTTACTTAATTAAGTACTCCTATTTAGAGAAGTTTAAGTTTGAGCTCCTATTTTGTAGATATGACATATGGTTTACTCCTATTTAGGGGGTTTCTTTAGAATAAATTTTAAGTAAGATCTGTAAGGATTAATCATAGTGCATATATGAGTCATCATAGTGCATTCTAGGGGTGAGCATGGTACGGTATGGTACGGTATTTAGCTCGTACCAATACCATACCAAATGTTTCGGTTCGGTATGGGATTTTACTCCGTACCGATCCCGATCCCGAAATATCGGTTCGGTATGATTCGGGATGGTTCGGTATCGGTTTCGGTACAAATCGGGATGAATATACATACCTACTTTACACATTAAAATTTAACAATGCTCCTTTATTTTTGAAAATTAAAAAGTGAATTTAAATAAAAAAACATGAAAATTTAAAAAAACATAAATATTTAAATGCAATAGATGCCTATCAAAATTTAGTTTATATTTCACAAACTAAAAAAATGAACGACAATAAAGGAGTATTTCAAATCTTTGTGAATACTTTTATGTTCATACACAAAAATTAAAAAAAAATTACACATAATAAAACTTGAACCAATTTTTTTAAAAAACTTACCCGGAGTATTATTTAGTGAAGGAATATAAAAATATTACTCCGGGGTATTATTTTTTATAATATTTTAGTATATATGTTCGGTTCGGGATTTTCGGTATGGGACGTCTTCTCGTACCGTTCCCAAATACCGTACCGACCATTCGGTTCGGTATGGTTCGGTTCCTTCTCAGTATTTTTTCGGTTTGGTATTTTTCGGTTCGGTATTCTCGGTTTTTTCGGGAAATTTCGGTATCGGTTTGGTACTTGCTCACCCCTAGTGCATTCAATATTGGCTTTACTAGGTAAACTAAACGGGAGATTTCTAAAAAAATCTAAAATATATATGTTCAAATTTCACTTTTTTACATTTAAATTTGAGAATAAGATTATTTTAAAAATTTATGTTCAATATTGTTGTCTTTATATAAATCTATACAAGAGATTTCCAACGATATATTATTTATTAAAAATAGACTAGTGTTTGAAAAAATATGTGCAGAATAAAGAGTGTCGTAGAATAATAAAAGAAAATCACATCAATATGTTAACAAAAAATAATAATACTTAATATATATATATATATATATATATATATATATATATATATATATATATATATGAGATTGACTCCAGTGAGATGACACCTTACAGTGAGATGACATGCTTCGGTGAGATGACACAAAGCTCACCACTGGCCACTGCAAAGCTCACCAAAGACAACTACAAAGCTCACCAAACTGTAAGAGAAAGCTCACCATATTTTTTCATCACTTTGAATTTTTTTTCAAAAAATAAAATCAAAGGAAGGGGTGCTGACTGGACTTTGACTGTTGATTGCCAGCATTGACCGCCGCTTGCCGTCGCCGCCGGACTTCGGCCGCCGCTGCTGCTCTGCCGCCATTGACCGGTGGTTGACTGGTGTTGTTATTTTATTTTTAATTAATTTGTAATTTTTAAAATTTAAAAAAAAGATGAGTTTTGGGGTTCAAAGTGGTGAGCTTTGCTTTATTTCTAGGTGAGCTTTGCATTGTCCATTGGTGAGCTTTGTAGTGTAGTGTGGTGAGCTTTGTGTCATCTAATATATATATATATATATATATATATATATATATATATATATATATATATATATATATATATATATATATGCATTCTCCCCATCCCTTTTCTCTTGGCTCCTCTCTTTGCTATATCATTATTTATTCATTTCCATATCATATAAATGCATTGAAGACTATGTACGATTTAAGTGTGGGGGGAGATTATCATGTTTATTCTGTTGTTTGGTGGAGTATATTTTTGGGCAATTTTTTTTTTAAAATATGTTTTGGGTCCAAATTTTTTTGTTATTCTTAGTTGCATATCTTCATATTTAGATCATTGTTTTAAAATTGACCCAAAAACTTAAATTTTTTTCTTTTGTTGAGCTTTATTCTGAAAGATAACAAATGCATGCTTTATAAACTCTTCTTGAGTCTTAATCCACATTTTCACAGTAAATTACCTTAAAGTTTGAATCTTTTTAGGTTTATTTAGAACTTTATTTTTTAGGACTATCCATCCACATATTACCTAGATCGTTTTTTAATAACCTTATGTGATCTTTAAAATCTAAAAAAACCAGTTTTAAGAGTTTTTTTACTTTTTAGAAATTGTGTGATTTTTTATTTAGGTTTTTTTAAATAATTTTGCTACCGTTGCCATTGAGCCTTCCGAATTATAGGATTCCCTTAGGGTCCGTTTGGTATACGGAATTGACGGAATTGGAATTGAATTGGATTTGAGATTCCATGGAATTCAATTCCATAGAATTGAATTGTGCCAATTCTAATTCATTTTTTGCACTATCAATTCCAAATCCACATAATTTTTGTGCTACCAAACACCAGAATTGGAATTGAAGTCCTCAATTCCAATTCCATAGTTTGAATTCCATGTACCAAACGGGGCTTTAGGAAACTTTTTTGTGACAACTTTAGAGCATTTTTTAGAACCTAAATAATCCATATTTTAGATCTCCATCTCACTTTGTTTTCAAAAATGTTATGGGCATAAAGTCTTAAGTGTGGGGGGTGTAAAGTGCACTTTATTTTTCTTGATGATGATAAAAAGTTTGGTTTCTTTTTGGTCTTTTGAACGAGAACGTTTAAGTCTTAAGTATGAGGGTATTTGATAAGTCTATTTTGGGTTAATACTTTTTATTCTTTTTTAGCCATTATAAATATTTTTAGTGTTCAAATTTAAGTTTATTTACTTAGTTTTATTTTAGTTTTCATTTTTACATTTTTTTATTTTCTTTCATAATTGTAGCTTTTTAATCATTTTTTATATTCTTTTATTTTTATTTTATTTTTCCTAACTCAAATTATCATATATCTTATTTGTGGTGAAAAGTGTAGCCAGATCAGAAGTCCAAGTTTTATTGGAAGAGATCAAATTTGGGCCAAAGCTCAAATCTACTATATATATATATATATATATATATATATATAAAAGCTGATGAGAAATCAGTTGCAATTTCACTTCTCAATTTTCCCTCCAAATTTCTGGATCCAATGGCTAATAATAAATTCGTACACGTGGCAGCATCACATTAAATCTTACTCCAAAAACATATACAATCACTTCAAGACAAAACAAAAATATACCCACATTCTAAATTTTAGTACATGGCATCTCATCTACTGTATAAAACCAAGCAAGTACTTCACAAATGTACTAACAATTGAACTGCCACCGCCCCCATATGGTAACATCATGCCAGAATGAACCTTGGAGTGCCCCAATTTATATTCTTTGAATCTTCAGAATTCTCACATGGACTTGCTTGTACACATTTCAGGATAATGCCATTTCAAAGGCCATTTCAAGGCTGAGAAGAGCAATATGAAATTCCTGGATAATGCCCATTTCAAAGCAACTATAAAGAGGCTCAGAAATCTACTATAAAGGAGATAAGTTAACGCCATGGCTGCTTCTGGCTGGGCAGATAACCATGCCAAGGTACGTATTACTTCCTTAATTTTGGTAATCAAAATAAAATAAAACATATGAAATCAATCATCACAACCTCTTTATTTTTCAAATTATTCCAGGCATCATCACAACCTAGAGAAATGTACAATCAGAAATGGAAAAACTCCAGGCATCACTGCCAGAATTAGAGCAGTCAGTATAATACCTCATTATAAAGAGGCTTATAAACTTAAATTTTCTTCTTTAAAACTCATTCTAATCCAATGGCTAATAATACTTCGGTACACTCTGCAGCTACATATTAATTCTTACTTCAAAAACATATACAATTAATTCTGGACAAAAAAAATATACCCTCAGTAGAAATTTCAGTAAATGGCATCTCATTGACTATATAAAACAAAGCCAATGTAGTTCACAAATGTACCAAGAAATGAACCGCTACTGCCCCAGTTACATAACATCACGGCAGAATGAAACTGGCATTGCCCCCATTTGAAATGAGGTATTATAAAGAGGCTCAGATTTTTACTTTTTATATACTCATTACAAGGAAATAGTTTATGATAACACCATGGTCCATGGCTGCTTCTGGCTAGGCCGTAGCCACGCCAAGATACGTTTTATTTCCTTAGTTTCAAAAAACAAAATATGAGAAAACATATAAAAACAATCATCACAGCCTCTTAATCATTACAGTTACTCCAGAGCATTGTGTATTCTTTGAAAATAACCATTTCAAGCTAATATAAAGAGGCTCAGATATTCACTATTTATGTAATCATTTTTAGAAAAGGGTTATGATAACGCCATGGCTGCTCCCGAGAGCCACGCCAAGATACGTATCAATTTCCTTAATTTCAATAATCAAAATATGAGAAAACTTATAAAATCAATCATCATAGCATCTAAAGTCTACAAATTATTCCACCTTCATACACAAAGTGTAGCATGGATGCAAAAATAGGATGAAATCACTTAATTACAAGACAAAGCATGGAACATGGTCCCTATAGCACATGACATACCCATTACAAGTGGTAGAGACCAAAACAGTCATTTCCTGAGTGTATAAATACCCTTCCAATACATTTGATTGAGTGCATAAATACCCTTCCAATCTTACACACTACACACCCTTCCACTCTTATTTTATTAGCCTAAATTCCTTCACTCCACTGTTTTTGTAACAACTAGCCTTATACTTTTCAAAAACTGCCTGCCCTTTTGACGAGGTTGATGGAACTAAAACCATCTAGAGGGTCGAATCACTTCATGAGAAGGTCTTTAACAATGGAATCATTTTCTGTTGTTCCTAATTTATCCATTTTATTCTACAACCTGGGAAAAATGTATCTACTTCGTGTAGGGTGAAACAAGCAAGGATTGAGAGTCTATAATTGATGTGGATAGCTCGGAAGCCATAGGGTGGGATTTGAAAACCAAGCTTAAGAGAGACCTTCTATATGATTTTGAAAATGCAGAGTAAGAGAATTTGAAAAGGAAGAAAATAATCATCAAAGTAGAAAGGACTGAAACTAAATTTTTAAGAATATTGTTTGCCCCGTACTATCATTATTTCCCTTTTCTACATTTTCTTTTCCTCCGGTGTATTGAATAAGTGATCAGGCACATACTTTAAGTGTATTCTAATTTATTTAATATAATTAAGTTCGTTATCCACGTCCTATGAATTTCATGTAAAATATTAATGTGATTGAGGGATGGTTCAATAATAACCACATTGGTATTTTATAAAACTGAAATAAAGTGTTCAGTAGATACAAATGTTTTAATATTGAATGTAATGAATCATTGGATAACATTTACTCCCTCCGTCCCTAAATAAACTTTCCTTTTTGACTTTTTGAGGATTTAAGGGAGAGATATTTTTGTGTTGACTTTACAAAAATACCCTTGATGTGATGTGTAAAAGTAAGAAGTGATATGTAGATTATTAGTAAAAAGGTATGATATGATAGGTAGGATATGAAAAAGTAAGGGGTAAAATGGGTTTTTAAGGGAAAAGAGAAGTTTATTTGGGGACAAAGAAAAAACGAAAAGGGAAGTTTATTTAGGGACGGAGGGAGTATATATTTCTTGCAAAGTCCCTGATTGTTTTAAGAGCATTGCAGAAAGGTAATAGAATAAATTGATATCTTTGTAAATTGGATTATGCTGTTAATCTTTTTTGAAATGCAGAATTTAAAATTGAAATATATCTATTTGATATATAAACAGAAAACTAAATGGTAGTTCATAATTGAAGAGAAAACTTCATGCAGTTAATAATTTTTTGAACATGTTCGTGAGGACTAGAAAATTGCAGTAACTCAATGGTAGATGGTCTGACATAATTAATATTTAAGTAAAAAAATTTAGTAATAAAACCCTACACTAAAATATCTCCTGGAAAAAATAAAAGAATTTGTGTCAAATTTTATACTCATACCTTTGAAACACTTTTTGGTATATATTCTCAGATCATCATCTTGAACATGCATGGATCTCTGAATTAAAGAAGGATCCTTCGAAGTGCAGAAAACATCTTATTTTCAGGATATGTGTTAGAATATAAATAACTGTTCCTGGGCCACAACCACAAGTTTGAGCTTTTGGTTGAGTTGGTTCCTTGACATGGTATCAGAGCCTCGTTGACTAAGAGGTCACGGGTTCAAAACTCAGCGCCACCCAGTTTAAAAAAATTAAGGTTTCACGTGCAAGGCTCGAAAAAGACTACGCCTGCACGTGAGGGGGCGTGTTAGAATATAAATAACTGTTCCTGGGCCATAACCACAAGCTTGAGCTTTTGGTTGAGTTGGTTCCTTGACAATATGATTATCCCAAAAAAGAATAAATGTATGAACCTCAAAGTCTTCAAAAAAACATCAAAAAAAAACTGAGTAAGAAATTATGCATGACAGATCTAATATTATTTCTTGAACTCTTTTAATATTTTTGAAAAATCAATAAGGTAATGTTTGGCAACTAGCATTTCATTTCAATTCATGCATTTCAATTCCAAAATTTGAAATCCTGAATTTCAAATGGCAAGGGGAAGTGCATGGATTTCAAATTAAGCTTTGTTTTGAATGTAAAGAATTTGATTCAAATCCAAATTCAAAATGCTTAAGTTTCCCAAACATGGAATAAATTAAATGTATACAAGTAGTCTATGATCGGAGACCGTCCTCCCTTACACATAAAAAATGCTCGATGTCTAATGAAGGCATGGATCGCAAATTTTCTAGGATCTGTGAAGATTTTCAAAAAAAAAAATCACAAAAAATAGAATAAAAGACACGAGAACATCCATGGAATTGATAGAACAATGATGGAAGAATTTGGTATCGCATGATAAATGAGATCAAATGTGAAGGTGTAGATAGATTACACAGAACGAAGTGAAATCAGAGAAGATAAGGTATACGGAAGTTGTGATTAGAATGAAGCGACATAGGGGATGGAGTAGGATTTTGGGTTGGACCATGCTACACTTACACCAAAAAATATACGTCATTTGTACACCACAGGTTTGCACAAATATTTCGATGGTTTACACCGACACAAGTGTTGGTGCGTTAATAAAAATTCACACGGACACAAATGTTGGTGCATTTAACAAAAATTAGTTTTACACCAACACAAAGTGTTGGTGCAAAACTGCGGGGTACAAATTGGAGTACAAAACTTGGGGTACACATAGCATAATCCTTTTGGGATAGTAGACTTGGGCCTGGACCCAAAATATATTCAATGGGCTTATTTAATTTTCCCTGGACTTAGCAAAGTCTTTATTACGTACTTCTTCCGTCCCAATTTATAGTACATATTCACTATTTACCTAGTCAAACTTTATTTACTTTCTTTCTCTATTTTCCTTACCAATTTGATAAAATAAAGTACTACTGTCACTACTAATTTTGTACATCTTTTGTTGTAGTATTTTAACATGTAATTTTTATTTTTAACTCTATACCATTTGTTATATAAAACGATTTGAAAATAGTTTCAGTCACACATCGTAAACCAAAACGGGCTTTATAAACTGGGACGGAGGGAGTACTATATTTTAAAACATTAAACTTATTATTTCAATTTTCAAAATTTTTAAAATAGTATATTTTTATTTTTTTATTAAAATATTTCCTCCGTCCACAAATAAACTTCCTGTTGCATGTTACGATGTTTGACTGAAGTTATTATTAAATCATTTTATATGAAAAATGGTGTGAAATTTTAAAATAAAAATTACATATTAAAAAATTATATCAAAAGATCTACAAAATTAGAGGTGACATGACTATATTATTTTATCAAATAGGTAACAAAAATAGGCCAACAAAATGAATAAAGCTTGACTATGTGAATAGTAAACGCATTCGTATCCATTTTAAGAGGAAATATCTGCATCCGTTTTAAACAGATATTATCCGTATCCGATTAAGGATATCCGATTAATAAACGGATACGAATTTGGTAATTTCATATCCGATCCGTTTAAAATCCGACCCGAATATGCATCCATTTAAATAACCGTTTATCCAAATATCCGATCCGTTAGTATAATTTTTCCTAATTTTTTTATGTTTATATTTTGTTTCTCTATTGATATTTCAAAGTATAAGACATTTCTATATACAAAATAAATGTGTACACACATAAAAATATGTGTAGCCATATAAAAATATGTGTGTATGTGTGCTGTGTGTATCTTTTCATCATATGAAGTTATCGTAGAATATCATAAATCATGAAAACAAAAAAAATAATTATCTCATAACAAATTATAGTTGATTTAATAATAGTTTGACTTTAACCTAATTTAAAATTAAAGTATTGTTTAATTTGATTTTAAAAATTGGAAACGAATAAGAATATGTCCAATATCTGACCGATATCCGACGGATGCGGATACGGTTTTGTTTTTTAGTATCCGTCAAGATCCGTGTCTGAATTTGATATCTGACAAAAATAAACGGATACAGATATTGTTATGGTACATCCGATCCGATTAATATCCGTTTACACCCTATTAGAAACGGTTAGTTCACTACAGAGTACTTTTTATAAGTGTTTCATATATTAAAATTTGTAATTTGTGTTTATCAATAAAAAAAATTGCATTCATGTATTGAATATAGTATACTCTAGAATTCACCCTTTATGTTAGTAGGTTTATTTTATAATAGATTAATACAAAGATATAAAAACAAAAGATGGACATATGTACTATTTCTTATTAATAATATCAAGTTACAGCATTTTTCAATTTTTTTGCATTTGGACAAGTTTTTTCTTTTCGTGCATCGCACGGGTGATGTACTAGTCCTACACTAAAAGAATCAAGCAACAAGCCCAATCTAATTTTCTCTCTAGCAACGAAAGAAAAAAAAAGAGAATAGGCTCCTTCTTCTTCGTCAACTCTCGAGTGACGCACGGAGTGCAGCGCCCAAATCAATGCATAACCAGGGCCGTCTCTGAGAAATCGGGGGGCCCTGTACGACATAAAGAACTATGAGTCATTATGCCATAATAAAATAATTTTTCTCAATTAGTGTTATTAACAAAATTAATATTATAATAATAAAAAATATAAATTGTCAAATTTATAGTATTATAAAATCAAAATTGCTTATATTAATAGCTAACTAAGGATTCTTGAAGTTTTCTAGCATTCTTGAGAGCAGTATAGTAAAAAAAATACGGAGTAATAAAATGTCAAAGTCAAAATTCCAAATAATCAAATCCACACACAAAATTAGTAATCTTAAATAAATTTAATTATACATACAATCTAATTCATTTCAAAGTGAAAATCATAAATCAATATGAAATCAACTAATCTAATTTATGAAATTATAAAATTTGAAATTATTTATTTACTCCAATTGGGCAATTGATTACACTAAAATCTGTAGAGTAAGCTAGAATTATGAAATACGGAGTATATTCTAAAATCATGATTCATGAACATGATAAGGTTAAATAAAATCAATTGCTAATCACCTAACTAGAGTAATTTTTGAAAGAGTTTTTTTTTTTAAAAAAAAATTAAGCCTGGTGCCTCGTGGGCTCAGCCGCTCGGGGCCTTCAAAATTGAACCTATTTTCTGGTGCATCGTGGGACAAAGCAAAAGTCTAGAGAGAGTGAGGTGGCCTTTTAGTGTTCATTTTTAGTTTTTATATAAATAAATATGTATACATGTATATTATGGAGTAAATATAAAAATGGGGCTCACTCCAAAATTGGGCCCTGTACATATGACCTTGCTGCCCATGGGTGTAGCCGGCCCTGTGCATAACTCCTCCAACGTTCGGTTCCATCAATTTCGCGACAATGAATTCCCAATGGGTAGAAATTTAACGGCAAATAGTTCTCCTTGCTATAAATTGGTGAATCAACACACAAGAAGAGGGGGGGGGGGGGGGGGGGGG